TCCACAATGGCCATTATGGGAGGCCGTGAATGAAAGGCTCGCCATCTCGCCCGGTCCATACTTTCCTGTTGCTGTTGAAGGGGTGTGTGGAAGGCTGAATCTGGTGCGCCCGCAATCAAAGTGAAGAGGCTGAAACATGCATCGTAGGTCCTATCTCTTTCTTCTGGGGGCGCTGGTTGTGGCACCCGGTTCATGCAGTCTGCCACAAAGTCTTCCATCCAGGGCGTGGTAGCCACCATCATGGAGTTACTGTGAGCCACGTTCATTGGGTCGATGTCATTGCTGGGGTGGACCCGAGAGGTCCAGGTTCCCCCATCCATGGCCTCCGGATGGTCCGGTGGCACTTGTTGCATGCAGAGCTGCATGAACAACTCCCCTTCCGTTTGTGTGGGGAAGATTCCATGGTCCAGCAGGCTATCTCGCATGTGTTCCGGGAGCCGAACCATTGCCAGGCCAAAAGGTGTTCTACGCACAAGATCGGGTTCCATGATGTCCCGACTCTACTATGGCCAAGCCTGGCCCAAAAGGGTACTGCGGGTGTGCGGAGCACTAACACATGAAAAAGCAAGCTGGAAGAACAACACCGAAAGCCCAGGAAAAACTATCCGGGTTGCAATTGGACAGAACTGAGTGCAAGTCACATGGACATCAGTCACATCAGCGTAATGGGCGGAGCCCGAAAGGATAACAAAAACATCAAACCAAGGTCAAACATGGTAACACACAGCAATGGTCAAACAGCAGTGTGCTGTAAATGATTCTGAGGCAGCCACATGCAGGTTTCCCTTTTTCACTGTGTGAGCTGGCATCCCAGCGGTCTGGCCCCTGTCTTGGCCCTTGTCGTGGTGCGCAACCAATGATATTCATACAAAAGGAGAAGGTGTCTGCAGAACCGAGTGGTGACGTTGGTGCAAGACGCTACCAGGCCACCAGGTCAGTAAAACAGCCCTTCGCAAAAACTCTACTCTCAGGTAGGCCGGACTCTGCTCGCTGCCAGCGCGTTGATCTTCTGCAGGCCCTCGAGGTCAGGGTTGCTCAGCAGGACCGACCAAATGGCGTTGGAGACATTGGCATGGCCATTCTGGCAAGAAAACTTCAAGCGTTGGGTGTGGTCAGGGTCAACTTGCAAGGCCACATCTCGCGGGGCCGCAATCGGCTCCACTCGCTTGTAGTACTCAAGCCTTGACTTCACCCAGCTGTTATACAGCTGTTGGGGTGGCTCATCCAAGATGAGTTGGAGATTGACTTTGACTCCCCTGTGTTCTCCAAGCAATTGGACAAAGCGGGAAGCTCCTTTCCCTTGTCGCCAAAAGCCCTGGCAGGCCTTGCAGACCCATCCTCCACGAGTCACTCCAGCCTCCTTCGTCTTCAGTTCCCATGGACTGATGCTGCTGAGGATGAGCCCGCAATCCGTGCGGCCCCAAAAAGCATGGACTCCCCGGTGGCCGTAGTGCTCCCTCTTGTACTTGGGGCTGCAGATGGACACCACGTTCTCCAAGGAGAGCTCTGGGTACTTACCGGTGCCCGAAGCTACCGTAGTCGCCTGCAGAGCCTCCGGTTCCAGCGCAGTCTTCAGGAAGCCATCAATCTCTGCCTGGGAGTAGCCCAGACGGCAATAAAAGCTCTCCGCCTTCTCATGGGGAACCAGGGCAACCCACCATAGCTCACAGTTGCACCGCCAGGCAACTTGCACTTGCACCATGCTGTGGGCCCCCAGAGTGGCTGACAGCGCCTGGAAGACGTCCGGGAGCTGCCTGAAAGCATCCAAGGGCAAGGTGATGCGCTCATCACAAACCGCTCGAAAACGGAGCTGCTCCTTTGTGTCCTGGATGTCCTGCTCGGGCAAGTCCAAGACCACCGCTGGGGTTCTGGCTAAGAAAACCGAGGCAGCCAAAAAGCTGCCGATTTCCTTGTAGAGCAGCTTGATTTCATGTTGTGATTGGGGAAACCGGAGGCCCACACTAGTGAGGAAGGACTTGATCTCTGAAGTCCTCTGCCGGTGTGCCGCCAACTCTGCCATCTTCTTCTGGCGGATGCCTTCCCCATGCCCTCTGCGCATCGGTTTGACGATCAGCGGCATACCACACCAAGCCTGGTAGAGCTCCTTGAACGTCCAGGACTGTCCAAGCATCGTGATCATTGAAGGAAGGTCCCATGATTGCACCCTCCGAACCAGGTGGGTGTCGTCGGTGCCAGAAGCTACCGCCGTCCCCGGAGCCCAGAAGAAGCCAATGATCTTGTCCAAGGCGGGTCGCTTGCCCTCGGAAATCTGTTGCAGGACCACCTGTTCTGTGTAGGTTGTGGGCGTGTAGAAGGAGGTGCCCAGCGGGTTTGTCCTGAGTTCCAAAGCCAAGACCTCAGTCGTGGGTGCCGGTTTCGCCCAGGCAGGTGCCGTGAGCGGGCCCTGTCGCAGTTCCCACTCTCCGCCCCAGGCTCGGACTTCACCTTTGTGGTACTGCAAGATGGAGTCAAGGATTGCGTACTTGCGTTCCAGGCTGTCTGGCGGAAGGAGTCGTGCTAACTGGGCCTCTTGGGAAGATATCATCTCCGTCCCCGTGGTGTACATGTCGAGTTGCGTCTTGGGGAACTCCGTCATGAGGCGGTCTTGGGAAAGCGGAGGCTTGTTATCCTTGATGAGTTCTTTCATTCGGAGGTAGGGTTGCTTCAGTGCCTCCATGTCAAATTGTTCCGGGCCCTGAGGGCCCATGGCCGGCGCGAAGAGGTTGTTCTGCCATGCTTCTTGCAGGGCCGGTGTCCACAGTGAAAAGGACGCCACTTCAATGGGCTTGAGGGCCTTGCGTCGATCCCTGAACTCTGTGTCCAGTGCCTTGTTGGCGGCTGCCGCTCTCTCCTGTGTGGTTTGGGCCGCCACCAAAGCCTCGTAGGAGGAGGTGAGGCCACTTTCTTCATGTTTTCTTTTGAGGTAGGACCTGAACTGCTGGAGGTCAGCGTGGCGGAGCATCTTGGCACTGACCGGATTCTGGGTTTCCTGTGCACCCTGCTGGATGGCAGTCAGTGTATGCAGCTCATCATCCATCGCCACAGTCTCTTGCTGGTGTTGAATTTCCTTCTTCCTCCGCTTGGCCTCCTGTGCCGCTTCCGTAAGCTCTTCTTCTGGGGTGGCCAGCAAGTCCACCTTGAAACGCATCAGTTCAATGGTCTTGGGGTGGAAGATCACAGCAGTTTGAGTAGAGTCTCGATCATCCATAGTGGGGGGGCGTTCGCCATCTGGATGAAAGATATCGTCCTGCCCAAAAGCCACCACGTGCTGCTGCAGTGTCATGCGCTGGGAGGCAGGAACTTGCTCCGAAAAGCTAACCAGCCCCGTATCGGCGCCCGAAGCTGCCGCAGGGGGAGGTCGGCCAAGATCTCCCACTTCCACAAAGCCTGAGGCCTTAGTAACCTTAGTATCTGTGGGGACCCAAGTCGGTCCCGCCTCAGTGAGCCTAAGTTGCCAGGACTGGCCGGCCACCTCAATCACTGACAAAGGTGTCATTGACAGATCAACAGGCTGAGAGCCTTGACAAAGCAAACATTTGGATAACTGACCCCACGGTGCATTGCAATCAGAACAGACTAATTGCGGAGAAGTTCCAGGGTCCTTCTCTTTCAAATTCACCATGGATCCCCCACGCTGAGTGGTGTGCCGGAGTTTCAACATCTGTGTGTGGACAGCCTCGCGCTTCGAAATGTGGTAAACCTCTGCGATCTTGACCACCAAGGATGCCGTCCATGGAGAACTGCGGAAAGCATCCAAAAGGGAACGCAGCTCACCATGCGTAATGTCTCTGAAATACTTGGCAGCCGAGCGAGGCAGGGCCGGAATCAAAGGTGCCCAGCCTTCGATGGTGAAGGTCTCTGTGGTCGGATCCATGTGGAGTGTCAACGTCTCCTTCTCTAAGGCCCGTGATGTCTGGGTCTGAACCTTTGCCTCTGCATGAACGAACCCCGACGGGGGTGGCCCACTTGACGATTCCACACTTGTCTCCAGCTTGGGTTCCAAACCCAAGTTTGCCATCACTTTCTCCATCTCATGGAGCTGCGAAGCCAGAGTCTCCCTGGTGATGGCGGGATCATCTTCAATCTCTGTCGTAACCTCGGCCGGCGCAGCCTCGGTCACCTGGGTGGAAAGAACCATGTAATCATCCCCTGCGTCCAACTCCGTCCCAATCAACGAGAAGGGGCCCACGGTGCCAGTCTCGCTAGCCACTGGACTAGAAGCCGCCATGGACAAAACAAAAGGGTCGGAGCGTGTTTTTCGAAAGTATTGGATCGCAGGGGGAACAGCTTGAGCCAAAATGGCATTGCCATTTTGGCAACTATATCGTCAACACATTACTTGCTCTCCACAAGTTCCAAGCAAAGAAACAAATATAATTATCCCTCCGGGGCGGACGTTCGCCCAAAGTTTCATTGGGGGTTTAGTTACGTTTTGATTTGTTCAGGATATATTTCAGATTGTTTTAGGGCTTGCTTAGGGTTGGTTTAGATTTTATTTAAGTTTTGTTTAGGAATTATTTAGGGTTTGTTTAGTTAATTTTCGTGTTATTTAGGGTTGTTTTAGGGTTCGCTCACGGTTGTTTTAGGGCCTATTTGGGGTTATTTATGGTTAATTTAGGGTTGGTTTAGGGTTTTTTTAGGGTCTATTTAAGGTTTGTTGAGGTCTCAGTTAGCGGCTCGAAACACTGCAAATTACGGAGGATATCTTTAAGATAGGTGATTTTGGCACCGTCTTAGATAAGCGCAAAAATGCCATGAGACGCGGGAAATATCAATATTTTGCATGCTCGCAATGTGCGAAAAACACGCACGGAAACAACACAGCAGATTGCAGTCCCGCATGGAATTCCGTGGATTTCGGGCAAACGTCAGCCCCCTAGCGATAATTATAGACATAAGTAATATAATTATAGTTATACATATTGCCATACATACACCTTGTTCCCTTGCGGCCTGGATAGTGTGTGAGGTACTGATCATGTGTGACAGAAAACTGGGTCCGTTGGAGCCAGCGTTGTAATCAGTCCGCTCCTGCCGAGACATTCACATTCAAGAGGCTTCAAGAGGTGTAAATCACGGGCTGGCAAGCAGGCTAAGTGGCTAAGCAGTCTTTGTCGTCCAAACTTGTCTCTTTTTGTTCTGCATATTGATTTCATGAGGTTCTGGCGAACGACCAGTGCGATGGGTCTCGCCTAGGCTTAGAGACTCACAGCTAAGAACCTAATGTTTACTTCACAAATATCCATATCCGCATAAATATGAACATTCCTCGACTCTTCGACCTTTCTTCTGAAAGCTTAAAGTTGAAAGTTCTGTTACCTCGGTGCCAGACGGTTTCTGCAAGACACTCATTATTGACAAGACCTGGAAATCTCGCATCAGCACGCTCTGGGATGCTCGAGATTCTCTTGCACAAAATCTTCAAGAGGAAAGATAAAGTAGCTGGTGGAGCTCCTGCAATTCCTCTAAATCAAAAGGATTCAAAAGGCACCTCTTCCTCCAACTTGTCGCAGTTCTGCGACTTGACGCGATTCGCCTTGAACGTTCAAACGATGCATGTACAGGAAACTGCCGAGAATCTGCGTTTGTCGTGTCATTGTAGAGTATAGACTATGATATCTCAGGGAAACCAGAAACCATTGCCTATAATCTTCTGTGGCGATCCGTATGCCAGAGGGACGTTGCCTCTGGTCTGGAGACTCTTGAAGGTGTAGATCTGCGCTGATTGGCCTCAAGATGCGGAAATTCGAATATTATGCACTTATGTCTTTCTGTCTCAGTCGCAGCATGGGGTAGGATAAAGATCGCTGACATCTCATTATGATTCAGCCCATTTCAACGGTGAGGTACAAAACGGTCTGCTGTATCAGACTCAGGCAGGAGCTTGACCAGACCTCAGAAGGTTGGGTGGTTTGGGAAGAAAACTCTTCCATGCCATGGCATATCTTTGTTACTGACCATTTTGCAACCCATTCTCGAAATATACTGTACCCATCATTGACCAGGAAACTTCTCAAATAGTTTGGCACGTGCAGTCTCTTGAGATTCCTGCAATGACCCTGTAAAATCTCGTTGTATGAATGAAATATGTCTCTGAAATATCCTTGTCTTTCTGATCTCACACTTTAGCATATCGAGGCAATGCTCCTTTGGAAGGTGTTAAGACTGAGTTTTCCAGTTCTCATGTCTGGTAGAGAGACATGTCATCCACATGGCAACTTGGAAGGACCAACGATATCAACTCTGCCCGGCGCCCGTCTCACCTCGCACCAGTCAAAGCCCGGGCTGGCAACGTGTCCGAGCGAGCTGAGCCTGAGATTCGATGAGCCAAGAAGCAGCATTGAACATCATGCAAATCATGCGTGACAAGTATTACTGGATGTACATGCTGCATCATGCTGCACTTCTACCGAAAAAACATGTCATAAATGAGTCATAATATGATAAAATAGAGATTTCAGCGTAGCATAGCGTAGCATAGCGTAGCAGTGTTGAACAACCCGTGAGTACCGCTGTTTCATGTCACATCCGGTGACTGTGGCTTCGACCTGGACTACCACGCACGCTGCTTGCAGCGCTGGAGGGGCGCCTTAGGCAAGCTGGCAAGCTGTCGCAAGCTGGTGAATCATTAGCAAAATGTTAAGAGGAATTCATCACAGTTATGCTTAATATCTAATAATTGTATTATATAGCTATCAGTATAGAAATAGATCCTAAAAAATACAGAATATGGCCAAACCATGCCAAACCAACTTGACATTCTTATTGTCTTTGCGTTGGTACATTAGGAAAATAGTTTGGCCAACCATCCTTGCCTTGTCCTTGCGTTGTCCCTTGAAAAGCTCAGGTCTGCACTCTGAGAGCCCATTGCATGCCTCCAAGTAATGGTTACCCTGGTTGATTCGGGGGGTAACCGGGGTAACCCCAAAAAGTATCAAAAAGTGATGATTTGCTACTAACAGTTACTAACATGGCAAACAACCAAGATAACCAAGGGGGTTCTTCATCCAAGACGTTGAGCAAACCCTCATAGAAACGATCTCTCGCCTCGACTCGCTGCAACCATCTTCCCTCCAAGGGTGGCCGAGCCAAACCCGAGGCTCTTCTCCTACAGCTCGGCTACATGATGATCATGATGTGGCTGAACTTGATGCGGGCTGTAAAATCAAACAAATATCTGGAATATCATTGGAATATTATAATATGATGGAGTATCATGAGAAAACTCTCAGCTTTTCTCTGCTTCTTGTGACATGACAAGCACATCATGTTCGGAAAAAGTTCACAGCGGACACCGCAACACTTCAAGGACCTTGGGGCTGATGGGCCACTAGATTCGCGTATCCTCAAAGTTGCGACACAAGGCAAGTCTGTATCTATTTAAATAATGTTACAGTAAATATATACATATCTTCACACTTCTTGAATATGGACAGTGCCCGAGAGGATTGCCTGAGAGGATGGTGAGTGAATATGAACCCCAAAGCCAAACGTTTGTTATGTTTTATGTTTTCTTTTGCAGCGCGAGCCCTGCAATGGAGCGTTTCGTGAGTTACGAGATGATCTCAGATCTCCATCTGCCAGGGAAAGCATCGAATCCACAGAGCGCCCAACCGCGACTGTGATGGAGAAGATGTCACTTTCGAAGATCTTCCAGCACCTCCATTTCATTCCCTGTGTTCCAAGAAGTCCAAGTAATCTGCTCTAAGCAAATCAGCGAGAGCAAACTGTAACTGACTGACTTCCTCATTTCCATGCCTGACGTTAAGCGTGGAGCCATTTCAACACTTGAAGGCTGCAACCTTGGGCAGAGCTTTGTTCCGATGCGCCGATGCGCTGAGCAAATGCATCCTCTGCAGTTGCATTGACAGCTGCGCAAAATTATTTCGCCTGTGAATGCAAGTACCTACGGATTGTGTGAGTCTGATGTGGGTCTATGCACCGTAATCCAAACATGTCATAACATTTCTTGGTTTGGTGACACTTGTGGCATCTGCTCAATCATTGGTCACAGTGCTTGTGCCACCTCAGGCTGTCGCGGTGAGTCTACGCTGGAGACACTTCTCGCTGATTGTCCAACCTTAATGATGCATTTCAACTTGAAGTTAAAGTAAGAATCGTTGGTGTGCAAGGGCATTTCAGGTCAACAGTCTTGCATATGGCATGGGTTACTTCACGCAATTGGTTTATGTGGACCCGGTTGTACCAGTCACCTTCCAACCATCATTCCTGCTTGTCGGAGACAAGCATGAGCAGACACACACACACACAGAGACACGGGCATGCAGAATTACAGTGAGAACTGTCCAACCATTTCCAGTAAGCTGTCAGAGATGCGTCAAGGACATGTGTTTGATGCAAAGATCGAGCCAAGCTTGGGACTGATGGACCTTGGTCTGCAGGAATCATCTCAGACATCTCAGACTGGTTGATTCTGGATGATGCATCTGATGCATGAGAGGTACGTAACGGTCACGTGACGCATGTGACTTCAGGCCGTTTCCAGTGGCGCCAGTGGTAGATTTCTATGCTCCAGACTGGAGGCCGGCACAACTGCAGCCTTGGAGATTCAAAGAGGATGGGACTAAGATGGACTAAGTGTGTAGAAACACATATTAGTACAGATACCTGTAGATGATTGTAGATGTATATACATACATGTTTATACCGTATGAATATACAATAATGACGAGTTAACAGTTAACATATTTTGTACATTCTATTGAATACCTATGTACAGCTGTATAATATGAAAGTGTTTAAATTGTTGAAGAGTGACAGTGCAACTGCAACCCGCTTACCAGCGCAAATGCTTGCCTTTGACCATGCTTGGCATTCGACATGCTGGTCAGGCGTTTGTGCCACTGAGCCTTCCCTTGGCACGGTCAATGTGAATGGTGATTCCGTTGGCTTGTTTGTTGTTTTTTCCACGAAGTGCTAATGAGACTTGTCCTTTCCTATGCAGCAAATGATTTCTCCAAACTATCTTTGCCTGCTGCCACTCCCAAGAATAGTGGGTGAGTCATGCTTGACCTCAATGTTTACATGGTGAATCGTAAAAGGTAAGGGAACGACGTCAACGAAGCTTGCTCACTGTCGCCATCAATCATCCCAGCAAACGGAAGTGCTGGAGCATGAAAACCAATTACAATTCAGTGCGACATAGTGCGACTGCTGGTTCCAGACTATGCCGACTATGCCCTATTTAATCCGCCCAAAATGCAAGGGCGACGGAGGCTGGATTCGAAGCAAGTTGTCCGCCACAGATACTTTCTGCTCCTTACCGTATCTTCTTAGATCAGAGCCTTTGAGGTTTGAGGAATTTATAGGAATTGAGAGTTAAGTTAACGCTCACTTGTGCATCAAAAAATCTAAGTTCTCTCAAGCTTTGAACCAAAGTGATAGATAAATCAGAATACAGAGCTGCAGCGAAAGAACTTCACAGAACTTTGCAACTTTGCAGGTTCCAGAAAGATCAAAGCAAATTTTAGCCCTGCCTGTCAGCCCTGTCAGCCCTGTCAGCCCGTCACGCATCAAACAGCTCCTGCTTTGATCTGCACAGAGCACGCTTCACATGGCGCGGCTTGCCTGTACAGCAATGTGGCCTTCGTTGGGATGGCTGTATAGATATCACTGGAACGTTTGGAAAAGAAACGGCACATGGAGCGACCACAACAATGCTTGCACTCCATAGCACTCCCATGTTCTGACTTTAGCTTGACTTTAGGGAATGGTCAAGCGTATTCAAGCGTCTTACAACCATCCTGCTCATTGCCCAGGGTGTTCATTTGCAGATGCAGCTTGAAACTCTGGAAGAGTATTATGGATCGCGCATCCACTTCTTTCAGAGCAAGCGCAATCTAAGCAGCTTTTCGAGAACACAAGGACTGGCATGACATGACTGGAATCTGAGCTCTTGGAGCTCCGAAGTCTGCTCCTGTAAACCACGAGCACGTTTCATCGAAAATCCTACTGAAAAATCTATGGGAAACTGTCAGAGAAAACCTGGCGACCAGCATTGGCAGTCACCCGTCGATCGTCTCAGGCACTTGTAGCTAGTTCGAACCTCAAACTAGATGTCGTCGCTGATCATTGATGTTGCTTGAAGTTGGAGAGCTCTTGACACCGGCCAGCGAACTGAACACACGATAACACACGTATCTTCAAAACAACATACATACGCGTGAAAACAATCGAGTACTACAAATTGAGGTGTGGACCATTGCTTTAGCACATCACTTAAGATGGCAGGAAGGCTTTGCAAATCCTTCAGTGAAAGCCAGCAAAAAAAATCCCGCATTTTGTAGGCCTAGCTTGATACACTTTGCTTGATTGGTTGATTGGGCTTGATTTGTGCTCCACACTCAACATGCTCATGCTGGAGGTCCTGCACCACAACGTAGTATGGAAAAGGAAAGTCTTGCAGGTACGGCACAACCTGCAGAAGTTTCGGTGCAAAAAAATAGGTTTTTCAGGCATGGCCCAATGGCCATTTCTACAGAGAAGGCTGCCTGGCATCGCCCAGACTCGTATGTTACAGCTCGAAGCTCAAAGACACTGCGCTTGGCAGTAGCTCCTGCCTGGAGTCAGCAAGGCCATAAACCCAAAAGGACACAATCGGACACAATAAGAACATGTGGGAACGAAATGGAACGAATGAACTGGGCATCCCACTGCTGACGCTTGAGCTCCTTCCTGGGTGTAACTTCCGTCAGCATGCACCAGTACCCATGGCAATCAGATCTGCTGTGAAAAAAGAAACCCGCGATATGGGTTCGTCTGAAAATAGGGTACCTGATTTTTCGTTGGTTGTGTAATAGCTGTGTAAGTCTCCCACAAACTCAGCATCGACGATGATCAGCAGTGGAAGTTGCTGTCTTGCCAGCGCTGCGCGAACCTCATGAAAAGGACATAGATGGATTTGTGTCTATTTATGGGGGTACCAATGGACACACAAAATTGACAGCCATTTGACAGCCTAAGCTTCAGGCCCAGGGTCTGACTTTGTTTTTGTTGAAGCGCCCATCAGAAATGATGATGCTCATCTGACCTGGAATCGATTGATTCAAAATCATCCAAAATATTCCAAAATCGTTGTCACAGAAACTGCAACGTGTAACGGAAGTTAGACCTCAAGAGCCCCATTGAATCTTCGAGCCAAAGATATCTAAAAATCTTATAAAATCTTGCCGTTCAAAATGAGATCTCGGCTGAATGGCCGTGCAGGACTGGGTCCACTTCGCCTTAGGAAAGCACAACTGTAGATTCCACGACTCCGTGATACTCTGTGTCTTGGATCCTTTTCAGGTGTGCTGAGCGTGCTGAGTGGAAGTATGTGGAAGCGTCAGAGAGACAGAGAGACACAGCACAGAGAGAGACAGAGAGCGCAAGCGAGAGAGAGAGAGAGAGAGAGAGCGCGCGCGAGAGCGAGAGGGAGAGGGGTAGGGAGAGGGGTAGGGAGAGAGGCAAATGCTTCTGATATGCTTCTGAATTTTAATGGCAGGGGCTTCTAGAATCTTCTGCGTCACAGTACCGTGTCAAGTAGAGTTTGCTGACCCTTCATCCAGATCCAAGGTCGGGACTCATCGAAGAGCTGGGAGCTCAGTCGCATCATGTCGGCTAAGCTGCGATCGTGGCTCCTGATCTCATGCTGCTGCAACTGAAATCTAATGGAAAAAAATGAGTTCAGTTTCGATTGAGAAGGACATGAAACATCCAATCAGCATCAATCTACAAGCATGTGACGCATAGAGTAGAGTGAAATCAACTACAACTTATTTCAATAGTGTATTGAGTGTATTGTGCTTGTCATGCCCAGCACCACTGCATTGGCGCCCTGCCCAGTCCAAGTAAAAGCTGGGGATGTGGCTGAACTGATTCCTCCTCGAAGGTGAACCTGTAACAAGTCCATGATGCATTCCGCAAGGAAGTTTGTTACAGACGAGCACGAAACACCGAAGCAACAGTTCACCACGGCCATAAATCCATTCCAGACAGTATTAGTTATTAGTTTAATGTTTGTATATACAGATATCCTTGTATATCCCATACAACGAACCAAATCGCGTTCCGAAGCAGGCTCTACAACGCAACACGTCGGGCATACTCGCGCAGTATCGGTCCAGCTTGCGTCCAATTGAAACTGTTGGCATGCGGCTGCCTCACAGCAGAATGCAGTTCAACATACTTCCAAAATTCAAAATGAAATCCAAAACAATGAATCAACTGTCTCATCGAGTTGCATTAGGATTTCATGTTTCATGCATGATATTTTGAGCCCTGAAAACCAAGCCACCCTGAACCAAGCGGAAGAAGAACTCGAGGTGTGGCCTTGATCGGGGTTGAAAGTGACTGACACTAAACACCTGAAAGATACGAAAAGATGATGCGGGTATTTCATTACAGAATATTACAAATGAATACAAATGAATACAAATGTCTCAGGTGAGATGCCTTCTCAGTTTTCCGGACATACAGCGTCACGAAGAATCAACCATCAGCAACGAGAAATGCGAAGGCATCGCTACAGGATAAGCCCAATGCACTCCCAAAGGCGAGCACTGCATACTCGCCTACCTCCAACTGTGCAAGCGCCTGACAAGATCAGACTATGCACTTGTGTATCCTGTGTGATGTCTTGGGATGGTTTGAACATGTTTGAACCACTTTGAATTACACACACTTGGAAAAGGCGAGTTGGGCTTTCGACAATGCTTTACTCCTAGCCAGCAAACATAAAGGATCATAAAGGTATCGACTGCATCAAGCCCGCCTGGCACAGAACGCACAAGGTCTGCAATGCAATTGGTCCCACGTTGCACTCTTTCCTCAGATCCACATAACTCGGAGATGATCAATCATCTACGTAATGCTATTGGCAAGCGATCAAAAGAGTCAAAAAGCTGGGTATTTGCATTGTCCACAAAACTCAAGCACTTGTGGCAAAATGTACCTTGACAACCAGCAGAAACGAGGCCGGAGCATGCTGCGCGAGTTGTCGATGGCCACAACAATCTGAAAAATCAGGTTGCAACGAGCCAACAAGGCACCCCAAGGATCCCCAAGGGTCCCAAGGCCTGTGAGTTCAAGCTGGGCTCTATCTTTTGCAAGGTGACCCGGTCTTTCAATCACTGTCTTTCCATGTCTTTGCCCTCCATCTATTGCATCCCAATTTTTGTCGCCAGTGAGGTCTTGCCATTGATATCCATGGATGAGAATGCTGAAAGATGCTGAAAGACTCCCTGCCTGATACTCCCTCTTGGAAGGCTTTGTGCGGCGAAGCCATATCTTGTCTCTCCGATAGTTGGAAGCTATGAACGGAATCACCTGAGCTGAAGACTTGATATCTCATCCAATCCAATGTTTTCATATATTTTACATATCCATTCAAGGTCTAGGATTTTCCCCCCATGTCATCCCTTGATCTATGTGAACCGCGGATGATCTCTTTGCCTTTCTGCAAATTTGGAAGCATCTGGGAGCAATACTCGTCGCATCGAGATCCTCTTCCCAGTTCTGAAGTATCCTTGAAGACGACCTGCCATTGAAAAGGTCTACTCCACAGGGTGGGGCAACTAGTGGGGCAACTAGTCGACTTCCGGAACTGACCACGATACTTCATGCATCTTCAAGCAGTACATGCATCTGCGTCAAGTGCAGAGTGCTGACCATCTGCAGAAAGCGCCCGGCGGCCCAAGCGGCCCAAGCCTTTCAAAGTCGGCTCCAGAATCGTCCGCAACTGTTCACAAAGAGCTGCAGCTAGCGGTGAGGTGCTCCGTTCAAGCCTCGCATGGCTATGGCATCCACTCAACGGGTCAAAAGGAAGCCGCTACTCGTCATTTGGATGTGGACTCACAGGGCATTCCAGTCAAGACAGCAAGACAGCAATCAGAGGAGGTCCAAGCAAAATCCAAGACTTATTGAACTTTCCTGTATTCAATCATAGGATAATAATGGATAATATATGATAATATCATAATATCTGATCATATTTGATCATATTCAATCGGTTGATGCTTGCTGAAACTCTCAGCACTCCACTCACCCCAGAGCTGCATGGCTTCGTGTTCAGACCTTGCAAATTGCATCGCCAAGCGACGAAGGGCAAGGCATAGTGCGATAGTAGGTGCTGATAGGTACTATACGATGCCAAAACGATGCCATGCATTTGCAAAGCATTGAAAAGCATCTATTTCCATATTTTTCCATATCCGCCGACCCCGGCAGACGCAAGGGGGAGCGCGCCAGGGAATAATACTTTTGACTCTTGTAGCAGCAGCAGCAGCAGCAGCAGCACCAGCAGCAGCAGCAGCAGCAGCAGTAGTGGTGCAGCCAGCAGGCAGCAGCAGCAGCAGTAGTAGTAGCAGCAGCAGCGGCAGCACTAGCAGCAGCACTAGCACACCTACTTTTGACTCTTGTAGCACAAGCAGCAGCACCAGCAGCAGCAGCAGCAGCAGCAGCAGCAGCAGTAGTAGTAGTAGTAGTAGTCGTCCTTCAGTAGCATGGTGCAGCCAGTAGCCAGCAGCAGCAGCAGTAGTAGCAGCAGCAGCAGCACTAGAGTTGTAGCAGCAGCACTAGCACACCAGCAGGAGAAGGGGCTTGTAGCAGCAGCAGTCGGCAGCCAGCAGCCAGTGGCAATAAGGCAGCAGCAGTAGTAGCAGCAGCAGCAGCACTAGAGTTGTAGCAGCAGCACTAGCACACCAGCAGGAGAAGGGTCTTGTAGCAGCAGCAGCAGCAGCAGCGGTAGTAGTAGTCGTCCTTCAGTAGCATGGTGCAGCCAGCAGCCAGCAGCAGCAGTAGTAGCAGCAGCAGCACTAGAGTTGTAGCAGCAGCACTAGCACACCAGCAGGAGAAGGGGCTTGTAGCAGCAGCAGTCGGCAGCACATAGTCAGCGGCAATACTAGCTAGTCGGCAGCAGTCGGCAGCCAGCAGCTAGCGGCAGTAAGGCAGCAGCAGCAGTAGTAGTCGTCCTTCAGTAGCATGGTGCAGCCAGCAGCCAGCAGCAGCAGCAGCAGTAGTAGCAGCAGCAGCACTAGAGTTGTAGCAGCAGCACTAGCACACCTACTTTTGACTCTTGTAGCAGCAGCAGCAGCAGCACCAGCAGCAGCAGCAGCAGCAGTAGTCGTCCTTCAGTAGCATGGTGCAGCCAGCAGCCAGCAGCAGCAGTAGTAGCAGCAGCAGCACTAGAGTTGTAGCAGCAGCACTAGCACACCAGCAGGAAAAGGGGCTTGTAGCAGCAGCAGTCGGCAGCCAGCAGCCAGTGGCAGTAAGGCAGCAGCAGCAGCAGTAGTAGTAGTAGCAGCAGCAGCAGCAGCACTAGAGTTGTCGCAGCCTGCCATCGGAGTAGCAGGAGCAGGAGCAGCAGCAGCAGCAGCAGGAAACAGGAGGAAAAGGTAGCTACAATCATTTTTTCTATAGGTTTCAGAAGGGTAGCAGGAGCAGGAGCAGCAGCAGCAGGAGGAAACAGGAGGAAAAAGTAGCTAAAATCATCTTTTTCTATGGGTTTCAGAAGTTACATTAGGCAGTTTTTGGGCGCAATTTTGATGCTTTTCCGTCCTTCACTGCCATGGGGATTTGCTGCTGGGAGTGGTTCGATTTTTGGCGTCGCAGCCTGCCACCGGAGTAGCAGGAGCAGGAGAAGCAGCAGCAGCAGCAGGAAACGGGAGGAAAAGGTAGCTACAATCATTTTTTGTATAGGTTTCAGAAGAGTAGCAGGAGCAGGAGCAGCAGCAGCAGCAGGAGGAAGAAACAGGAGGAAAAGGTAGCTAAAATCATCTTCTTCTATGGGTTTCAGAAGTTACATTAAACAGTTTTTGGGCGCAATTTTGATGCTTTTCCGTCCTTCACTGCCATGGGGATTTGCTGCTGGGAGTGGATCGATTTTTGGCGTCGCAGCCTGCCACCGGAGTAGCAGGAGCAGGAGCAGCAGCAGCAGCAGGAAACAGGAGGAAAAGGTAGCTACAATCATTTTTTCTATAGGTTTCAGAAGAGTAGCAGAAGCAGGAGCAGCAGCAGCAGGAGGAAGAAACAGGAGGAAAAAGCAGCTAAAATCATCTTTTTCTATGGGTTTCAGAAGTTACATTAGGCAGTTTTTGGGCGCAATTTTGATGCTTTTCCGTCCTTCACTGCCATGGGGATTTGCTGCTGGGAGTGGTTCGATTTTAGGCGTCGCAGCCTGCCACCGGAGTAGCAGGAGCAGAGCAGCAGCAGCAGCAGCAGGAGGAAACAGGCGGAAACAGGAGGAAAAGGTAGCTAAAATCATCTTTTTCTATGGGTTTCAGAAGTTACATTAGGCAGTTTTTGGGCGCAATTTTGATGCTTTTCCGTCCTTCACTGCCATGGGGATTTGCTGCTGGGAGTGGTTCGATTTTAGGCGTCGCAGCCTGCCACCGGAGTAGCAGGAGCAGGAGCAGCAGCAGCAGCAGCAGCAGGAAACAGGAGGAAAAGGTAGCTACAATCATTTTTTCTATAGGTTTCAGACGAGTAGCTGCAGCAGGAGCAGCAGCAGTAGCAGCAGGAGGAAACAGGAGGAAAAAGTACCTAAAATCATCTTTTTCTATGGGTTTCAGAAGTTACATTAGGCAGAGCAGGAGAAGCAGCAGCAGCAGCAGCAGCAGGAAACAGGAGGAAAAGGTAGCTACAATCATTTTTTTCTATAGGTTTCACAAGAGTAGCAGGAGCAGGAGCAGCAGCAGCAGCAGGAGGAAACAGGAGAAAAAAGAAGCTAAAATCATCTTTTTCTATGGGTTTCAGAAGTTACATTAGGCAGTTTTTGGGCGCAATTTTGATGCTTTTCCGTCCTTCACTGCCATGGGGATTTGCTGCTGGGAGTGGTTCGATTTTAGGCGTGGCAGCGTGCCACCGGAGTAGCAGGAGCAGGAGCAGCAGCAGGAAACAGGAGGAAAAGGTAGCTACAATCAATTTTTCTATAGGTTTCAGAAGAGTAGCTGCAGCAGGAGCGCAGCAGCAGCAGGAGGAAACAGGAGGAAAAAGTAGCTAAAATCATCTTTTTCTATAGTTTCAGAAGTTACATTAGGCAGTTTTTGGGTGCAATTTTGATGCTTTTCCGTCCTTCACTGCCATGGGGATTTGCTGCTGGGAGTGGTTCGATTTTAGGCGTCGCAGCCTGCCACCGGAGTAGCAGGAGCAGGAGCAGGAGCAGCAGCAGCAGCAGGAGGAAACAGGCGGAAACAGGAGGAAAAGGTAGCTAAAATCATCTTTTTCTATGGGTTTCAGAAGTTACATTAGGCAGTTTTTGGGCGCAATTTTGATGCTTTTCCGTCCTTCACTGCCATGGGGATTTGCTGCTGGGAGTGGTTCGATTTTAGGCGTCGCAGCCTGGCACCGGAGTAGCAGGAGCAGGAGCAGCAGCAGCAGCAGCAGGAAACAGGAGGAAAAGGTAGCTACAATCATTTTTTTATAGGTTTCAGACAAGTAGCTGCAGCAGCAGTAGCAGCAGGAGGAAACAGGAGGAAAAAGTAGCTAAAATCATCTTTTTCTATGGGTTTCAGAAGTTACATTAGGCAGTTTTTGGGCGCAATTTTGATGCTTTTCCGTCCTTCACTGCCATGGGGATTTGCTGCTGGGAGTGGTTCGATTTTAGGCGTCGCAGCCTGCCACCGGAGTAGCAGGAGCAGAGCAGCAGCAGCAGCAGCAGGAAACAGGAGGAAAAGTAGCTAATCATTTTTTTCTATAGGTTTCAGAAATTCATTAGGCAGTTTTTGGGCGCAATTTTGATGCTTTTCCGCTTCACTGCCATGGGGATTTGCTGCTGGGAGTGGTTCGATTTTAGGCGTCGCAGCCTGCCACCGGAGTAGCAGGAGCAGGAGCAGCAGCAGCAGCAGCAAAACAGGAGGAAAAGGTAGCTTTTTTCTATAAGTTTCAGAGAGTAGCAGCAGCAGCAGCAGTAGCAGCAGGAGGAAACAGGAGGAAAAAGTATCTAAAATCATCTTTTTCTATGGGTTTCAGAAGTTACATTAGGCAGTTTTTGGGCGCAATTTTGATGCTTTTCCGTCCTTCACTGCCATGGGGATTTGCTGCTGGGAGTGGTTCGATTTTAGGCGTCGCAGCCTGCCACCGGAGTAGCAGGAGAGAGAAGCAGCAGCAGCAGCAGCAGGAAACAGGAGGAAAAGGTAGCTACAATCATTTTTTTTCTATAAGTTTCACAAGAGTAGCAGGAGCAGGAGCAGCAGCAGCAGGAGGAAACAGGAGGAAAAAGTAGCTAAAATCATCTTTTTCTATGGGTTTCAGAAGTTACACTAGGCAGTTTCTGGGCGCAATTTTGATGCTTTTCCGTCCTTCACTGCCATGGGGATTTGCTGCGGGCGCAATTTTGATGCTTTTCCGTCCTTCACTGCCATGGGGATTTGCTGCTGGGAGTGGTTCGATTTTAGGCGTCGCAGCCTGCCACCGGAGTAGCAGGAGCAGGAGCAGCAGCAGCAGCAGCAGCAGGAAACAGGAGGAAAAGGTAGCTACAATCATTTTTTCTATAGGTTTCAGAAGAGTAGCAGAGCAGCAGCAGCAGCAGGAGGAAACAGGAGGAAAAAGTAGCTAAAATCATCTTTTTTTATGGGTTTCAGAAGTTACATTAGGCAGTTTTTGGTCGCAATTTTGATGCTTTTCCGTCCTTCACTGCCATGGGGATTTGCTGCTGGGAGTGGTTCGATTCTAGGCGTCGCAGCCTGCCACCGGAGTAGCAGGAGCAGGAGCAGCAGCAGCAGCAGCAGGAAACAGGAGGAAAAGGTAGCTACAATCATTTTTTCTATAGGTTTCAGAACAGTAGCAGGAGCAGCAGCAGCAGCAGCAGGAGGAAACAGGAGGAAAAAGTAGCTAAAATCATCTTTTTTTATGGGTTTCAGAAGTTACATTATGCAGTTTTTGGGCGCAATTTTGATGCTTTTCCGTCCTTCACTGCCATGGGGATTTGCTGCTGGGAGTGGTTCGATTCTAGGCGTCGCAGCCTGCCACCGGAGTAGCAGGAGCAGGAGCAGCAGCAGCAGCAGCAGCAGCAGGAAACAGGAGGAAAAGGTAGCTACAATCATTTTTTCTATAGGTTTCACAAGAGTAGCAGGAGCAGCAGCAGCAGCAGCAGCAGGAGGAAACAGGATGAAAAAGTAGCTAAAATCATTTTTTTTATGGGTTTCAGAAGTTACATTAGGCAGTTTTTGGGCGCAATTTTGATGCTTTTCCGTCCTTTACTGCCATGGGGATTTGCTGCTGGGAGTGGTTCGATTCTAGGCGTCGCAGCCTGCCACCGGAGTAGCAGGAGCAGGAGCAGCAGCAGCAGGAAACAGGAGGAAAAGGTAGCTACAATCATTTTTTCTATAGGTTTCAGAAGAGTAGCAGGAGCAGCAGCAGCACCACCATTTTTCACATGCTATGCCTACCACCCCTGCCAGAGGTGGCCAAATGCAGCAGGGCCCTCCCATAACTCCCGAGGTCACGACATGTTGCCACACATTTGCATGCGGCCACGGCCCACGAAAATGACAAGCCGAACGGCATGGACGGGTTTCCAAATAGCGGGGTCTTGGTGCAGCATTTACATTACCATTTTGAAGCTTATTTTGAAGATGTCTCCAATAATCTGACACCAAAACCTGGGTTTTACCATGCCCCCAAACCAACCCTGCGTTTTACAGAACAACACGGTCTACACCAAGTTCACCAGGTTTGCGCTGATTTTTGGTGTGCCGCGATTTGAACGTTGATATTTAAACAAATACTACAGATGCAAAACCCACCTTCCCTAGTCGTTGATTCCGGGGTCGGCGGCAGGGGCGGCAGCCCTTAAATATATATCCGACATTGTACAACAGCGAGAGTATGTCATGGCCCATGGCCATCATATGCCATCATGAAGGGAGAACCGTCCGATGGGCGTCTGACACGACGCTCACACATTGTTCTCTTGGCCCGGCCTCTTCCTCCCAATTCCCTCGTCTTCGCCCTCGATATCTTGGTCGATTTCCATCGGAACCTATAAGATCCGAAGCACATCAACCGTGGCATCAACCCATCAACCCCGGTATTCACCAAAACCCCTGCCCTGAGGTGGCAGAGAAATAAAACTCACACGTGTCAAGCATCAAAAAGTGGCCTGAACTTGATCTCCCAGCACTGTCGAAGCATTGGACACATTCATGCCACCTCGCGCTCCCTCAGCATTTGCTACTCTTCAAGGAGGTGCACTGAGGATGCTATGTTTCTTGCTTCCGGGTCATAAAATATTTGTCATGTCATGTCATGTCATGTCATGTCATGTCCAATTCCTGCCATCCAGAAGTTTCGCTGATGTGTTGCCTCCAGTTGCATCCTTTCGTCTTCAGTCTCTTGAGTATTGGCTTGCGATATTTTGCCTGCAATGCAGATACCGAAGGCCAACGACGCATTGAATTGGCAGCATGAAGCTGACTTCTCTGCGTAAGGCCAGAGATGACCCACGCTGCACATACTCAGCAAATCCCCACTCCACACCTTGATCATCTGGTAGCTGACCTTCCTTCATCTCCTCCAGATATAAAGACCAAATGAATCAAACTAATCAAACACTATGATTCCCATCCTTCCTCAGCCACCAGAATTTGCAATCAGCTCTTTCCGACCAAACTGCGAATTTGTATTGTCCTGCAAGTGCATGTTTGGCCTAGGCGAATCAAAATCCGCCAGCAAATTCTGGCAAAGACAAGAGCCTTCTTCACCCTGCCATTTTGCTTTACTTTAGTCAGGTAGCAACAAAGAAAAAGATGCGACTCCTCTACACCCTATATACGGAAATTGCTACACTTGCAGGAGCCTAAACTATCCTAAACTATCCTAAACTGCTACCCGGGCAACCGCACAGTTTCTGTTCCTGTTTTCCTGGCGCTGATTTTATCACTGCCAGAGCACTGCACCATCTCGTTGGAGGAACTACCACTGTGATTGTGGCTTCGGACTGGTTCCCTGGTAGCGGTAGCTGACCTTGTTCCTCTTCATCCACTGCCATTGCATCATTTTCCTCTTTCTCCTCAAAGAGAAGCTACAGATGCTACAGACGTGCAAGATTGCGCAGGCGTTTCAACCCTGAAGTATACTTGATTCAGCAGCTTCAGGCCCTGCCTCACCATCCTGCTCAGTGATCCCCATAGCTTTTTGATCCACAGAAGCCTGCTACCGAGCCAGGTATCGGAACAAAACTTCATCATGTACCAAAGCTGCCAATGACATCCAATGGCATCCAATGGCAATGTGTTCTGAGATCCTCACACTGTCTTGACATTCCCCCAGCGCTTCCAAGCCACTCTTTGGGTCTGCCAGGTGCAACCCTTGCCTTGGGCCACGGGTTGCCACGGGTTGCCACGGGTTGCCACGGGTTGCCACGGGTTGCCACGGGTTGCCACGGGTTGCCACGGGTTGCCACGGGCAGAAAATGACAAGGCAACTGGGGCAGAGACTCAGCTTCGGCTTCCTTCTGATTGCCTGTTGCCTCAGCCAATGATCCGATGCCGACTGTGCAAATCCATAGACAACCAAGAGGCACATCAAGAGCCTGTGACACAAGTAGTATGATTCAGTATGATTCTTGTCATTGTTTATCATTATTTATCTATTTCTCAAACAGTAAAGTAAAAGGGTTTCTCAAGAGGATAAAGACCCTTCTGCAGGTGGGGCTGAAGCTTTTCTCTCCGGCTGGTCTTTGAATATGGTGCGTGAATTGTTCGTGTTGGCTCCGGCAGGTGGGTTTCAACATGTTTCAACTCTGATTCTAGTTGGTACAGTGTTACAGAGCACATAAACCATATGTACTGGGAAAGTTTCTTCACGAACGGGCGAAAAGGGACTGGAGCATTACGCCCTTGGATCGTCCAAGGACCGTGATACATCAGATTCATCCTTGCCTTGTCCGCTCCATCGGCTTCACGCAAGATGTCAAGCTTTTGCAAGCGCCGCTCCTGACCATAACTTCCACAATCTTTATGGGTGCGCACGCCGGCTCTCAGAAAGGAAATATATTGAAGAGGCTCCAGTCGGCTCCAAGTGCATTTTGCAAAAAAAAACCTGAGAATTCATGAGACCATAAAGTACCAATTGTTTAAAGATGGCTTGGAAGTGTCTTCTCCACTTTCTCCCTCTGCAGCGCTGGGCTTTGACGGAGCTTGCCTGGCTGAAACTAATCCTGCTTGACCGCCTTGACTCAGGCCTTGACTCCAACGGATCACGGACTTCTTACTTATGTTTCGATGGGGAAAAAAAAACTAAAAGTTTCCAATGGTACTGGCGGATAGAAGAAATGTCAGCCAAGTTCACTTCTTGTCTGCTGCTGATTTTTGAGGCTTGGCCTCAGCAAATTCAGTGACTTAAACCGACCCATCACATCACGTCGACACTTCTTGATCCAATCCTCTCATGGCAAAAGAATTCACGATGCACATTCTTCTGAACCCAGTCAAATTGGTCAAAAAATCATTTAAGCCACAAGCCAACACAAGCGAACTCGTTATTCCTCTGTGCACTGGTGGCTCCCCGGACTTGGGAAGCGACTGATGGCATCTCAGCGGTGTCTCCGCGGGAGTCAGTAGCTGTTGCTGTCGAACCTGCTCAACTAACTGGGCTTGTCAGAACGATATATAACAACGAAATATAACAACAAGCACAAAAAACATCGAAAGGCACTGTCTCCTGAATATACAAAATCAATAAAAATCGTCCCTAAGTATGCCTGGTTCCAAGAATCTACGGATTTGCACGACTACGCTTAGTACTAGCCATCACAGAGTTTCGCTTGGGACCTCCACGTTCATCTCCTGCTGAGGCATCTTGTGCATCTTGTTGAGCTTGGGACCTTGAATTAACACCCCACAGTGTCAAATTGAAGGAGGTCACGCGCAGATTTCGGATATTCTTTTGGGTTGTACACGTAGCAAGAAAAGTGTTGGGAATCGTCCATCCCCCAAATCTAATTATTGGACGCGCTGATGCCCCACTCCTTTTCTGACTTTCCATATCTGGCCGTCTTAGAATCATGCTCAAAGTTTGCAGCTTCACCAGTGCTTCCACCAAAAACATCTTGTTCCTTGCGGTTTGACGCACATAAGCAAAAAGGGCGAAGCGATGCTTTTGTTGGCCCTGTGGCCATGGTTTCGTGCCTTCACAAACTGCCTCTCTCCAGAAAGTTGGTTTGACAAGAGCCAGTCGTGACTGAATCTGACGACACCATCAGAGTGACACTTTTTGCCTGCTTAACAAACCCATAATGTTCATGCACGAGTTGACTGGTACACTCAACACGTTCCTGCTGGCGCTGCTGTGGGGCTGTCGTGTCCTGCCATGCTGGAAACTTGGAGCAACCCATGGCCACATCTACCCAGCCGATGTGCAAACAGTTGTCGCTTGGAGGCAGAGGTCTTTGGAGGCTGGGAGTGCCCATGAGTTCCCAGAGTCTCCGGCCTTCCCAAGAGATGGAGCGCCAGGATCACCCTGCTTCAGCCTTGATTTGCAAACTTTCCAAAGTTGACTCGACTATACTCAACTAAGATATACTCGACATGAAGAAAGGAGCTCAGCTTCAACTTGAGGTCATCACGGTTCGGGAGGCTTTTCCTCCTTGCTGTGCCTGAGAGCATATCTCACTCAAACATTCAGAGAGCAAAATGGTCAACATATCATACAGATCCATCTTTCAAACAAGTGCTGTCCATTTTGTTCTTCAGGCAGCAGACGCTTTGGAAGGGTCTACATCAGGTTTCTTCTCCGCATCATTCTTGTCCTCCTGTCAACGGGTGGTCACAAGTCGGTCTATCCCTCAGCATTCTCAAGCATGATCCGCTAGACTAAGCAAGAAGTTCACCGCAAGAAATTCTGTCTATATTCTCTGCCTGAGGATCTTCAGGCTGCTTTTCCTCTCCTTGGACCTCAGAGCAGAGGTTCTACCAAACGGAATCTGCGCATTTCTGCGCCCTTCGGTTCTTTGGAGATTTCTGCTATCCTGCTGAACATGAATTCGCTGGGGCCCGAGCACAGGGCTCCACTCCCTCTTGCCTGAGCTCCAAGAGGAAAATGATGGAAAATCAAAGGGCTCCACTCCAACCGTCAGCCTCCATCAGCCTTCATTCAGTTTCATTCGCAACAATTTGGATTGCACTGTTCTAAAGGTGCGATGTATTGCGAGGGTCTGGCGTTTGCTCGGGACCTTCTTCCGGCATTTTTTCTTGTGGAACCTGACTAACAAGAACGAATCGTTTTCCGCTTGCATGGAAAGGTAATGATGGTAATTGAGACCTCAAGTGTTCCTTGCATCCCTTCAGAATAAGACTTGTGACTGGCAAAATGCGTGAACATCCGGCTGACAAGGTGAGTAAGGAGGTTGCACCAGGCTCTGCTGCATCAAGATCGCCAACGTCCTGCCAAAGAGGATGTCTGCACGCATCGTACGCACTGTACGCACTAGACATGGGGATCATGGGGGGTTTTAACTCTGGGGTCACTTCCATCCTCAAACCCCCACGTAGAATACGTAGCAACAGCAAGCAACTCATCAATGGTCTCTGACCTCTTCACACTTGCTCCCTTCTTCAGACCCTTGATCTTGGTCTTCTTCACCATCTCCCTCCATCTCAATATCGGACTGTCAGGTGCTGCTGGTGGCCAATCTATTTGAAGCATTTTGAACTTCACTAAGTCATGAAAACATGAACAGATTGAAAACATGTGAGAAAATGTGAGAAGTGCATAAAAGTATATAAAGTGCCTTAATGAAGTCCGAGTCCGCATCGCCCTCTTCACCTTCTCCTTCTCCTTCTCCCTGACCTGCCAGAAGCTGCGACACTCACTGCCTGGCCACAGGCGATGCAGGCGACGCAGGCGATCTGGCCTTCTCCTTCCCCTTCACCTTCGGCATCCCCAGGCCTCTCTACAGCTGCTCCGTATCCAAAATTAAAACTTAACCCAGGGAAACACAAAAGAAAACAACTGAATCTGAAAGATCTGAAAGTCTGAAAAGAGTACTTCTGTTGGAGAAACACACAAGACATGCAGCGGAATGAATGACCTAGAGAACGGAAATCTAACGCATCTGGGCACTGCACCCTTGCGGCTGCATTTGCACATCAAACTGCGCGTCTTTGTCCTCAAAGTCCGTCTTGTCTGGTTCCTGCGGCTCCTTGCACACGCGCCACTGGCTCTGGAATGCTGCAGTTCAAATCAGACAAATTCTGTCGCAGGTCTGTTACTGTTTTAGGTTGTATCTCCTGCTCCGGGACGTCGTCTTTCTCTGCTTCATTTGCTTTGTTCTTGGGATCCTTGTCCTTCTTGGACTTGCCTTTTCAGCAACTCTATACACGTTGGAATTCACAGTTGTCGTGAAGAGCTTGCCCTCTCCATCAAGTCAAGCTGCTCTCTTCCTCATCCTTTGCTGTGGTTTCCTGTCATAGGATCAGTACATTCCACTGGTTGGCTTCTGGTTTAATACTGAAAATTCAGCGAACATTCATTTAGCTTCCTTCTGGCATTTGGATCTTCACTGCAAGTCCATCTTTCCAACGTCCAGCACAGTGTTGGACATCGCCCATCAAGAATGCAACTAGGCAGGTCCGCCGCTTCCCCTTCACCCTGAGCACCATGTGCCTGATCGGGGTTCGGCAGAACTTCACGCATAGGCCGCATAGGACATACTTTACACAGTTGTCATGACTTAGTCACTTACGGTCACTTAACAATCTTAACACGTGAAGTCACTGGCTGTTGGCCAAGTTCCCTGCTTCAATATCCTCTTGAGGGCCTTTCTCCTTCTCATTTTCAGCGTCGCCTAGGAGCTGAAAATCTGTTGCAAACCAACACATCACAAATATTTGGTACTGAGGCAAGGTCCATCCTCTTCCTCCTTATCGTCCTAGAATTATCCCACTAAACAACCACCCCCTCCGAGGGATGTCATGATTCCATTTAGTAGGTGCCTGCCTGCGCCTCGACTTCTGGCGGCTATCGTGGCTATTGAAGGAAGTGAAAGAAAGGGAACTGCACGATACATCGCTGAAAGATCTGAAGTTCAAACTGTCTTGCTTCTCAATGCTCACACTTAACATCAGCACTCTGCTCTCAAACACAGTCCTCATCGCCGTTCCAAAGCTTCTCATCTAAGGTCCCTCCTTTTGATAGGTCCACCTCGCCTATGTTGAAACTCGTGCAGCACGTAGCCAACAGCTCAGTGTCTGAATCAAACCAAGCCTTGCTGCCGATCCAAGTCTTGCCTAAACACGGATGTGGAGGAGCTTTCATACAAATGTTGTCAAATGTTGTCAAAATGTTGACATTGTGAGCAAGCTCAGAGAATCTCAGGATGACTTGGGACCAAACTCCTCCTCTTCTTCCTTGTCCTGCTCTTGCTGCTTGTCTTCCTGATGAACATGCTGATGGTGGTTTCAAAAACCGAGGATCCGTTGGACGCATGGAAATCCAAGTCAGGCACTTCATTTTGTGGCAGGGCTTTCGCTTCAGTGTCCAAGTCGAAGCCAACTTCACGGGCATTATCCTGAGCAATTTGGCAAGAAAGAGCTGAAACTCATGAGTGGATGCAGCTCGCATCTGACCTGTTTGCCTTGTGCGTCGCTGCATCTGAAAGCAATGAAAAGTTAACTTGTGTCTCTTGGCAGCAATTTTGAAGAATTCCACGAGAAATGACAAGTAATCAAACACTTGCAAACCTCCTCGGGCTTCTTTTGCTCTGGTTCAGGCCTCAGCCGAGAATACTATTATTCCATGTGAGCTAGATATAAGCGCAATTAATAGGATCCCACACAATATTGTGCTTGGATGTACTTGGGAAGTTTAGTAGAGTCAACTAATTTCAGACCAAAAGAAACGTTTCTGTTCTAGTGCTTTAGAGCCTTGGCATCCGCACTGCTCCTCTTCCTTCTCATTGCGCGTCCCCTCAAGTTGAGCGTCATCCTGTCAGAGACACTCATGATGCGGTCTGATCAAAGGTATCACATTGAGTAGGGTAGTAATGATGTGTAATGAGTGTAATGTTGTGTAATGATGTGTAATGAGTGTAATGAGTGTAATGAGTGTAATGAATGATTCAAAACTGCCAGTGCGACAAATCGTCTGAATCCATGCAGATCCAATATCCATTCCAATCTGCCGACCTCGATCTCATCGGTTACATCTCGAAGCCCTTCACCTTGACCCATGCCGGTGCCAGCAGCAAACTCCGTCTGACCACCTCGAGTCGTCTCAATCTGCAAGAAGCTGTGCAGCTAGCATCTGCATCTGTGAGATATTTCTGGCGGCAGAAAAGGAGTCAAGAATCCAAAGAAGCTGAGGGCGTGCCTTCACCATCACCCTCTTTTTCCTCTTCCTTCGCATTGAGTCCTTTCTCCTCGCGCAAATCTGTCAAGACCCTACCCGAGCAAAGTGTTTCTGGTTGTATGGCGATACATGGTGACCAAATCCAAATGATGCAGTGAAGTCTGGCGTCTCCATCATGAAGCACACCAAACGCAAGATCTCAAGCCTTAGTGCCACATCCATCCACATCCCAATTATCCAAGCAATCCAAGGCTGGCAGAGCCTCTGGCGAAATCTGGGAGGTGGCCAACATGGCTTCTACTGCACCCAGCAAGATAGCCTGCGACAGCTGCAAGGTCCTGACGCCACATGCCGTGTGCTCATGGAGTCTCGAGCAGGAATGTGATGGAATGTGTATACATTGCAAAAATTGCAAATCAGCAAATGAAACATGAAGAAAAAAAAGTTTCTTTGCTCGGCATACAAGGCCTATCAAAGCCTGGTTGCAAACTTATCTCAATTGTTTCCTTTATCAAAATTTAAACTAGCATCTGGCCACCATCATCACCATCTACCCTTGAGGATTTCACTGCTTGACGAAGGGTGCCAATGGGGACAAGACTGGCGATGCCGGTAATTGCTTCAGGTGTGACCTTGGTGACGCATGGTGATTCACCACATTCGAATCATTCGAATCGACGGTGATCAGCGACGGTGACAGGAAGCCAATCACCGAGTACCGAGTCATTGGCATCAGAGCCTCCTGTATTTGTCCCAGCGGCAAGATCTCCAGCCTAGATGGGATTTTTGTGTGGAGAACAGATGAGAACAGTGGAGATTGTTCACTCCACACTGGAAAAATGGCCATCAAAATATTCAAAATTCTGATGTCCAAGTTACTCTTACTTCTCCATGTATTCTAGATGATCTATGATTGCAGCAGTCAATTGATGTCTTCCTTGGAACCTCACAATGACTTTAAGCGACTTTCTCGTCCTACCCCAAGTTGTGGAACTGCCAGAGCATCCTGCAATAGCAAAAGAAAATGTTCGAGTCAGAAGCCCAGAACACAACTTGAGTTCTTTCTCCGCAGCGCCACTGCAAAACAGGTTTGTCCTCTTCCTCACCAGTCCTTGGTTCTTTGGCGGCAAAAAAAAGGGGAAAGCTAACAAGTGCATAGGGTCTGACCCATGACCTTGATTGGGCTACACCTCACTTGGTAGAAACTCACCCAGCCGAAACAGATGAAAAAAGTTTTGAATTTCTGTCTTTCCTGGATTCCTCACAAGTGCTACATGCATTATAAGAATAAGAAAGTGTAAAGGCCGAGATCTATTCGCATGATACTATCTGACTGGATTGATACTTCAAAGGTTGCAGACCAGCGGCTCTGTTTGTTTCGCAGCTTTCATGGACATCGATGGGTCTGATGCAAAGGCCTGCCAAAATTGTCGATGATTTTGTCTTTCAACTGTGGCAGCTGTGGAGCTCGCCCATGCGCCCAGCTGGTCCAGCAGTACATGATTTGTGTTCACAGAGGTGACACGCCGAATTTATATTCCAAATACTAGTAGGCCACATCTGATATATGCCTGGAAAGGCTGCAAATCGGAATCTTTGGGTCCAACCATTAGCCATTGGCGGGAAAGCGAAGTCGACTATTTCTCCGATCGCAGAACTCTGCTGCCTTCATTGCATTTTGCACCGCCAGTAGAAGCGTACGCAGTGGTCGAAGGGCAACATCTTCGTCCACTGCAGACTGGTTTAAACCTGTCCGACATGGACTGGTGATGTGGAGATGCCCAGCCAAGGGACAGTCATGAGATTCCATGATCATCAGATCATCAGATCATCGTAGCTTAAGGTGTGCGCATTCGTACAGCCGCCGAAGGCTTTCCTCCAACTCCTCAAATGAAAAAACATGAAAATAACTATATATATATAATGACTTGCATGAGATTCATTCGATTTCGTACACGAAGTCACGATGACAACTGCATGATTCTGTAGCTCGTCAGAAAAGTCAAGTTTAATTCGAAGCCGTCTCCTGAGCTAAAGAGTTCAACGATGATGTCACTGCAAGGGGCACCTCAGAACACATCGGAACTTGGAACGTGCACCGCCCAGAAAGCGAAACGTCGGAAACGCCGTATGCCACTGTCGCTTCCCAGAGCTGGGCGAAGTACGTTAAGTGCATCCAAACCTTGGTGACAGCTGTGATTCTTTCACATGGCCATGTTGGGAATGTGTTTGTTCATGTTTGTTCCATTCTTTTTCATTGCCATTCCGGAAGCAAACTGGGAGATCATTGAGATATATTGAGATCTTGAGACAAGAAATCTATAGAAATCGTGCGAAATCTTGATACTACTTCTTGGCCATAGATGTTGGCTAGTGGCTAGTGCGCATCAGCTTGAGGGCTTCCTTGGCCTTGCGCATGAAGCCAGCAGTGAAGTGATTGCAAATGCATCTGAACGATTTCTTCAACTTTAGAGCTCTTGAAGAAGATAGACGAGCTGTTTTCATCTGTTTTCTAACTTTTGTGTAGTCCTTGCAACGCCTTGACACGTTCTTCGTTCGCATTTTTTGGGGCTCTGGATCCAACAGCTCACGCGCTACTCTGTGCACTTCAGCACTCACAATGTGATGGATCACCTCAAATGTGCTCAGTAGATCTCAGTATCATTCGGTACTGTTCGTGGAGCAAATCCAATCAGCATATTTTCTGAAGCACATGGCCCTTCCCCAGATCTCAGAAATACCTTGAGTGCCACACCGGCACATTCTTCGCCGAATACCAGAGCTTGTGGTTGTCAGCCTGAAGTGAACCCCCGGAGCAGCTCAAGTAGTGTCTGTTTAAAATGATCCTCTCCTTTGCCTCTCTGATGCTTTAAATTTAAATTCAGTGGAGTTTGAAGGCTTTGAAAGACCAGTTCAGATTTCCTTCTACACTCTCTGTGAGATGAAGCAAGGCAAGGAACCTGATCGGTTTCAGAATAACGCTTCACAGCATCGTCGGCATCCTTGCAAACACTATGTGTCCAGCCACGTGCTTTCTGACATTTTCTCTTGAATGCATGATAAAATGTCATAAACATTCCAGAAAAGGCCATGATCATTTTCATCCATTGTGATCCATTGAGTCATCCATTGAGTCATCCATTGAGTCCGTCCTTCATCTTCTGGACATGCGCAAACTCAGTGATCGCCTCCAGTTCGCCTCAGCTCAGCGCCATGCGGTGCCATGCTGTGCCATCGCCAAGGCCAAGGTGCCTTCCTCTGACATCCCGTAGGGATTGTGCTGCATCTCCCAGCAGCCCAGCTGAAACCGGATGTTGTTCCTGGTGAGAGAAAATTTGGAGATAGGGATCATAAATTGTGCACATATTGATCATATATGATCATATTGTATAGCGAATTATAGCGATACATTGTGCATCAGTGGAGATTCCGAGTTGTTGCATCAGCTTGGCCACAGCCAGGACGTCCATAGGCGTTCACGCCGCCGCGCATGATTCCGGCCACAAGGCTGGGATACCTTCAGCGGATTCATTGCGGTCATGCCAAAGATCCACAAAAGGTGCTGTGAAAATTGATCTGCCTCATCCAGCAATCGACCATGGGGAAAAAAAAATGACAAAGGGTTCATGGTTTCCCTCTCTCTCTCTCTCTGTCTTTTTGAAAGTTGTTTGAAGACTAAGTTGCACAATGTCCTGCGAACAGTGCTCGGGCCACTCCTGGCAAGAGCGACCCTGAATGTAGGTCAGAGTCGGAGTGAGCATCTCACTCTTGCGAAGCATCTTATGATAACATCAGACTTGCTCAATGTCATCAGGATGGGACAAGGATGCATGGGTGGCATAGTTACTATAATAATAACTGCTATCAGAGGAAGTAGAGAAGTCGATTCTTGATTTGTGCCACACGGAGCATGCTGATTCAATTTGTCTCAGTCTCGTCAGCAACAGAAAACTTGAGCTCCTGTCTTCCGCGCATAAACTGTGGACAGCCGACTCCAATTGACTTGCCACTTTCAGTCACCCCCAGGAATTTCCATTGTTCCCGCATCATGCTGATCATCCTCTTGTTGAAGACCTTGCAAACCCAAGCTTCGCATGGATTTGCACATATGAATTGAAAGGAACGCAGATTCAAGAAGATCTGAAGCAAAGGTACTCTAGCAAATTCATGCAGATTCAAGACACGTCAAAATGAATGCAAGTAGTCTTCAGTGGTACAGAATCGAATGCACAAATGCATAGCATAGTCCGAGTTGCGAAAGCATTCCCCCACATCAGCATCAAAGGCCCGTGGATGCTATTCTGCCTTTCATGCTCGATCACAACACAAATGGTTTGCCCCAAAATTGAACGCAGGATTGACGATTGTGAGTCATCAACATCCGCTGAATCTTCTGCCCGTTAAGTTTTGTCTTGAGGTGCACCCACTTCGCAACATCTCCAACACCAGAAGAAAGCTCTGCAAACTCTTGTAAGGCAGCCACTCGTTAGACATTCCTTTCCGCAGGGTTCGAAGGTAACCTCAATTGTGAGAGTGCATTCCAAAACTGATTCGCAGCAGTCACCTTAAACATCAGCATCAAGTGGGCAAGTATCAATCAGTCACGCCACTGACAATTGTCAAACGTGCACGGCTGGGACTCAGAAAATGGTCCAACCTCAGCAGTTTGAAGAGCTCGGGTGAATCACACTCACGAAACTTGGAAAATTTGAGAAGTTCACAAGATTACACAAGTGTCAAGATCAGCATTTAAAGCTTCGGACTCAGAATTGATGACCCAATCCTCAACGACCAGCAAGAAAGGTTGCGATGACTTCAGCGTGCCAAACAAGATGAAGGGATGATGTCACTCACGTCACTCCTTCGTCCAAGACACGTAGTCCTCAAGCAATTTCTTTCGGAGCATGTGCTCCCAGGTGGGCATGAGCCCAACCATATTGCGATGATACCTCCAAATCAAAAGTGATTCAAAATTCTATAATACATTATATATACATATATATAATAAATACATATATATAATATACATATGTCTATAATATAATATATATACACACATACACACATACACACATACATACCATACCATACCATACCATACCATACCATACCATACCATTACATTACATTACATTACATACATACATACATACATACAATAACATACCATAACATACAATAACATACAATAACATACCATACGATACCATACGATACCATACCATACCATTACATTACATTACATTACATTACATACAGACAGACATACATACATACATACATCCATACATACATACATACATTACATACATAACATAACATAACAAAACATAACGTAACGTAACGTTACATTACATACATACATACATACATATAGAAAATACATATATATATATATAATATACATATATATATATACACAATATACATATAATATACATATAATATAGATATAATATACATATATATATACAATATACATATAATATACATATAATCTAGATAGCATATACATATACATATATACATATACGTATATATATATACAAATACGTATATATATATATACGTGTATGTAGATATATATATATACACACCATGATTTACCAAAATAATGAACCTGTTCAGAGCATTTCAGAACAGCCATGAACAGCCCATGCTGCTGAGGGGCAACCACAGACCATCGCTTCGAGGCACTCGTTGTTCGGGCACCTTTACCACAATTACATCCTCACGTTCTTCGCCCTGTGGATAGCGATCGCCTTGGAAATATCAATATGGAATCAGAACAAGATTGGAATCCAAAAAACAAGACGGAAAAGGATTCAGTGGCTGCTTGTGGGAATCAGACGGACGACAGAAACCTAGCTGCTGCCACAGTGCTGAAAAACGCATGTCCATCGCACTTGCTGTATTGCTTGGTGACTTCGGCCAGCACAGCCTTGATAAGTGTGTTGCATGAAGGAGAACGGAAGAGTGGAACTTTCAATGGAACAGTCAGTGGAACACTGGAACAGAATGGAGGAAAACATCAGCAACAAATTCACAAATCGGATACAAATCGGATACAAATCGGATACAAAAATCGGATACAAATCGGATACAAATCGGATATAAGGGCGTGCCATGGCGTGCCATGGCGTGCCACGCGAATCTGAAGCCCAAAGGCAAGGTCTGGCATGGCCATGTCTAGCCTCGTCCCCTGGGCGAAAGGGCGTCCAAGCGAAACAGAAGAGACGGATCTTTGCAGCCTCTTCTCTGACGTCATCAGGCGCCTGACGATTCTGAAAGTGGAACAGGATGGAACAGGATGGAACAGGATGGAACAGGATGGAACAGGAACAGGAACAGTGGCTTCAAAGCACTCTGGATATCTCTGGATAGGGAAGATCCAGAAATATCCAGGAGGCTTGCTGATGCATCTGATGCAAAATACCAGGCCTGATCCCAGGCTGCAACAGGCTTCAGGTTCGTCGGAGAGACCCCAAAGCTGTTCACTGCCCCTTTGCAAACAGGTTTCCGATCAGCTTTGGCCGTGTCCTTGTCTGTTGTCTCGCGTGAGTTGAAGAAAATGTCCCGATCGTCTTTGCGGTAGATACAACCCGGAGGGTCGGTATGAGCGTGGAAAGGCGTTCGCGACATCATTTTCCTGAATTGTCTTCCAGTGGAAACTCAAGATCTCACATTTTTGAAATTGACGTCACACACCGAAGTCAAGCAGGCGGAGAGTACCCAGACATGATACTGTGATAATAGGCTGGATCAAACTCTGCACGATCTAAACTTCCAAACTCGTCGTTCTTGCGAGCTCGCAATGAGACGAAAAAACGATATCATTGTGATGCTGCTTTTGACCAAGAAACTTCTTCAAGTACTCAGCTGCTTTGATGCATTCTTCCAGAGTGGTCACCTGCAGAAACACTTCTCATTTTCTGTTTTACTTCCAAACAAGACCGAAGCATATGCCTTTGCGCCAAAAGTCTCTGCAACGAATAGCACATTTGCTGCTTGAGGGATGCCCACACATGTGTAAGGACCGCTCAAGGATAGCTCAGAACTGCACATCAGCTGTGTTTTCAAAAAACCTGAACGTAAAATAGTGCGGCCATGTTACCTGTTGCGCACCTGCAAGTGGGATCAAGTTGAACATTCCATGCAAAGATTGAAGCCAGCAACTGCACAACTCTACATGACCATCACGCGGTGCGCATCCAAGCGACTCTTGGGACAAGTTCCAGATCTTGGGAGCATGTAGCCTATCTCCGATGGAGCAAGTGTTGTTTCCTTGTCAGCTGAGTCGTCAGACGCATGATATCACACCAAGGTAGACCCTCCCCTGAAACTGCCGTGATTCAGAGTTCGATTCCGTTGCCGGAGCCTCCGTGGTTTGAACTGAAACCTGACAAAGCTGAGAAAGAAAAGGCAATAAATGGCAATCATATCGAACGGTATCAGGAAGCGGCGAGACAAGTCTGCCTGAACCTCTGTCGTTGTGACTCCACTCGACATCACTGAAGGTGTCTGCCTTAGCTACAAAAAAAACGAGAGGATAGTTCGATCCAGAGAAGCAGATGAAGCAGAGACAAAATGGTTTCATGCGGTCAAACAATGTCAAACATATTGGTTTGGCGTGGCTTCCTCAGATCTCTACATTAGTCTTAACTTGTCTTAACATGTCTTGGCCAAGCTGCAAGGATTGCAATGGCTTTCCGGCGTCCACCTGGCTGGGGATTGCCTGTGGTACTCCAGTGAGAACGCTCATTTCGGTCTGAATCCCAGCCAAATAGAGAGTGGTGCAAAAGCTGACCTGAGAGCAGCCCAGCATTAGGCAATTAGCTTCATTTGTAAATCATGGTAAATCCTTTGTTACATCAATTCTCCTTGGAGCTCATGGGGCACAGTTCAGTCAAGGGACAAGATAGCAAGACACACTGCGGCCATTCACCGCATCGGGACACTTTCGCGATGGCCTATCAGAGTGGCCAGGCGAGGTGTTCATTTATTTCATTTTCAAGCCAGGAGAGGATCCGAAGTCGAGCCAATGGCAGGGCAAGTGCTTTGAGACTGAGGAAGCACCCTCTCAACTGCCTCGCGGCACTTCTCTGGATGCGTTGCCTCAATCACTTGAAGTTGCTGTCCAAGTTTGCATGAACACAGGTCTATTTGCCAAGTCTTCTCTTCTCGAACATAGTGGGCTGTAGGCTGTAGGATATTCAAACAAGAGCTTTTACTTCAGAAAACGAGATTGAGGGTAGTGAGCTCGTTGCCTGTACTGATCCCTTGGAGTTGAAAGCAATGAAAGCATTTCCCCCACTGCAGCCGAGGTCACGCCCTTTCCACGTCCGGCGAATCTTGCTCAAGATCGCGGGAAGTGGTTCCTAGGCAGCCAATGTTACCAAGGTTGCCATCTCCAATAACTTTTTACAAGGCTGGGTGTTCCCAGTACTTCCCTGTCAATTTTAGAGAGCTGTATCGAAGACCTGGGTATCACACCATTGGGTGTGTGCAAACTGTCTCGCAAGCCCATCGTTCAGCGTACATCATCTCGCCATGATTGAGGCATTGCTTGGAGCAATGCATGACAAGCGAATCTTTCCAGTTCAAGTGCCCATTGTTGTCTGATTACGCTTCGTTCAAACATATAAAACTGATATTACAGTATGTGCGAAGACTAAGTCAAACGAGAATTACTGATCTTTTCAGCAGCCAGTGTTTGAGCAATACATGTTCTGTTGCATTGTAAACAGTTAGTTTCTCAGACAATTTTTGGGAGATCCTTTGAAAATTCCTGCAGTTTTGTGACCTGCTTCATTTGAAGATGCAGACGTAGATGCGTCACCACTTTGGGTGAGCAAATGGCTCCAAATGTTCAAGATCTGCAAATTATATCAAATTATATCACCCCACTTCCACAGTAGATCTAAAAAGGAGTGCCGACTCAGCAAAATGAGAGCATTTGTGATGGGCCTGGCTGATCAAACGCTCAAGAAAGTTCGCCTAGCAAAGTCAGTGGCCACAGTGGGGGGGCCACAGTGGGGGGGCCACAGTGGGGGGGCCACAGGTCTAGGGACCATGCCGGATTTCGATCGATTTGGATGTACATTTGAATCATGTCTTAATGCGCCTTCACTCTCACATTCTCAACTGAAGATCCTTCAGGATCAGCCTGGCTTGGATGCAAAAAGAAAGAAACTGCAACCTTGAGGAACTGCCTGATCTTACCTTTTTAGGTTCATACTTAATCTATTTCAGGTTTACTGTGCCAAGGAAAGTGAGCTCAGCTCGAGAATCCAACAGCTGCTAGGGTGTAGTTTGGAGCTCAACGCACGGAGCTGTCTTGATAGGTAGAACAAATAGAGATACCAGGTACCACTTGAAATTCCATATCTCACCATGGAGAAAGACTCACGCAGCCCATTTTGGTGCCCATAGTATCTAACAGATTCTAACAGCAGGTCCAAGACATTGTAGATAAACTGGTAATCTGCCATGCCTGTGCGACCAAAGATTGGAAGTCATCTGATTCTCGGACCTGAACAGCCAGAGAAAAAACCTGCGACCCCGGAGATTGAGCTTTCACATTTCAGCCACGGTCACCAGTGTCTGAATCCAGTCTTGATAGTGGACTGAGATGGACCGAGGAAGAGGCAAAGGTAACTACGGAGCTGAAGGAGGTAGCAACTCCTTGCCAATTCTCCAGCCTTGGAATCGGAATACCAACGAACTTCAAACAAGTCGTGACCAAGTTTCAAACTCTTTGAGTAACAGAAGAATACAAAAAACAGCAGCGCGAGTTCTTGGGATCCGGTCTCTGTGGCAGGAGCAGCCTCAGCGGGACAGTTCTAAAGTGAGACGCCTCATTTACCTGACTTTGCCCTCTTCTGATTTTGGCACATCCACAGTCAATTCATCAGTGTTCTCAGGCTCTCGCAGCATGTGCGATGAGCCGAGCTTGTATGGTACCTTCCAACATTCGATCCAACCTGAGTTCGAAGCTCGGTAGATTTTGCAAATCAAAACGAAAAGTTGAGGCAGAGACTGTGAAAATGTTGAGAGCAGTATGGTCCGCGGCACTTTCAAAGAGCGGTCCGCCAAGGTGGCCTTACTTTAGGATCTTTAGGAAATATGAATCGATGAAAAACATCTTTACGGCAGATTCGAAAAGATTCAAAAGGCATAATAGATCACTTGTGACTGTCACTTGTGACTGAACAATATTGGACATATCTGAACATACTCAACCGACTCTTTGTTCACCTCTTCCACCAAGGCCCCGACTCCATATACATCTGCAAGTTTGACCACGGCATTCTGAAACACCTTAGGGCCAAAGGCATCCCGGGCACTGGAAAAGCGCTTTCTGCCGGCCCTCCAGGATTCAGGCCAAACAGCGTTCACGGTGGCATCGAACAGCTTGGATTGAAGCAGAAGCCAATCCCAACCAAACCTTTCGCCAGAGGTAAGCCAGTTTCAGAGCAAAACACTGATCATCAGTGGATCAGAATCTGAATGAACATCACATCATAGTGATGTCATAGTGCCTTCTGTTCACACGTTTTTGAAACATGGTGAGAGTCTGCTGCATTTCGACATATTTCCACTGGGGGTTCTGCTTGCATTTCACCAGCGGTAAGGTCCCTCGGTCTGGTCTTGGTGGAGTGTAGCCGCAACGCCTCACATCCAGTCACCCAACATCAAGATTCAGAAGCTGCAAATGTCTCAGCTACGGAGATAAGTTGCAAGCCAAGTGGAGAATGTGGTACATGATGCTGTCTGTCCTGCACCAATCTCAGGAGCATGCTATAAATGCAATAAATATTAATAAATTCCTATAAACTGTGCCCACATAAATTAATATATATATATATACTGTATAAATCTGTATAATACTTCCTGAAACATGACTTCGGAATGCACAATCAGACAAAAATTCAAGCCTTGCCCAGGCGCTGTCAACTTGCTGCTTAAATGTTGCTGAGACATCAGGAGCCTTCCAGAAGCTATGAATGATGTGGTCTGAAGCAGGCTCAAGCCACTACAATGTCCGGACAACGGAAATGCAATGAAATAACTGAAATAACCAGATGAGAAGTCAGGCCACTTTCTGACAACCCTGTTGTCTACCTTCTCTGCCTGTTCAGATGTCGCTGGTGCGCTCTGCTTTGCTTGCCTCAAAATTGGGTTGAACCAAACTCGAAACAACATCACTATCAGTATAGCCTAATTGGCCATTTTAGGCCCCTTGTTCAACAACTAGTGCATCACGGAATCATTCTTCTTCTTCTTCTTCTCCTTCTTCTTCTTCTTCTTCTCCTCCTTTGCCTCTTGTTTTGTTGCCTCCTTTGACTGAAAACGCTTCTCTTGTGCTTTCTGGTTGATGCATTCATGAAAATTATACGTAACATATTATAACCGGAGATCAGGGTGCTGGCTTTTTGGTGCGCGCCCTGTCATCGAGCAACACGCAGAGCTGGAGACTAGATGTCAAATACCCCTGCAACTATCCAGTGTCGAAAACAGCAGGAGTGAGTTACAGGTTGGTTTTTGCCCACGCCTTTTGCGCGGTGGCTCTGGATCAATTTGCTTCTTGCCTTTGGTTTCAGTGTGCAGGGGCAGCTGACTGGCATTCATTCGCTAGAGTCCAACTGGCTTCACTCTTTAGCTCGTGACTTTCAGCTTGAGCTGGCGGTGCCTTGCTTTGATTTCAGGAGTGTGCTTTTGGGTCACTCTTTCTCAGCAAGCGAAGTGGAGGCTTCAGACATCAACAGGGCCAAGTGAGCTTTCCCCATGGATGTTGCCTGTCTCAGTTCGGGTAGTGAAAGGTTGAAGAAATCAGCGACATCAAAGGAGTCGTCATGCACTGGGCGGGGGACCTGAGCCATGAGGATAATGAAGCTGGCAAAATCGCAACCACACAGTGCGGCAAAATTGCTAAGCCGCAAACAAATCCAAAGCTGCTGCAAATCTCCTGTCAGATCAACCCAAGCAGTTTGGGAACATAAGCTCCGGGTGTGCCAAAGCTCCGGGTGTGCCAGTGCCTTCATTCCCTGCAGTCTTCTCCGTTTGACTGGCAACGCGGACTCTTGGTCTTGCAGGGACTCCAGCACGGACCTTGGAAACTACCACTAAACAATGCCTACTTCAAGAGGTCCTCTCATTGTTTCATATTGTTTCAGCATCCATCAATATCCTATCATTTCAAACCTAGCAAAACAAGTGTCTCTAGCACTATTGACATAGCAGTTTGCAAGGTTTCAGAGTGGAAGCTGAGACCCTTGGCCCCACTTCGGAGCACAAGTCTTCCGCAACCTCCAAGACCGTGCCAAAGAAAAGCAGCAGGCTCTGAGGCATGGCACACCTTTTTTCAGTGAAGGATTTATAAAGTATGGCACTTTGTAGCTGCCTCATGGAGTCCGGAGCCTTGAGGAGCCGCCAAACAAAACCTCAACTTTTCGCGCTTCCCAACTTCCGCATCTCTAAGGTCTCTAAGTGTTTATTTCTTGATATTTCTTGACTCTAAAGATGTCCACAAATGCTTGCAGTACAGTGTCACTACAGTCTCGCTACGCTGTCACTACAGTGTCACTGCACCGAACAGCATCACAACCGACTCCACCCACTGCGCCATACGGCGCCAAGGCCAAGAAGCGCATCGGGAAGAAGCTGCTGTCCCACCATCCGAACAAAGCTGGACAGCATGGAAGGCCTCGACAAGAAATGCATGGCATGGAAGCACCATACTTTGTTTCTCCAAGAAAAGCTGCACTGAGGTATTCACAAAGCTGCCACAATCAAGCCAGAATCCGCCCAGAATTCTTCGCCTCAAGCTGGTAGTCTCACTACAACTCCATGCGACTCTGATTGAGCCTAGTTACTCCTATACTCCTATTGCTTTTTCATGGCTCCTGCTGAACCCCAACCACTTGCATTGACATGAATTCAGGTGGATGTGCTTGCGAGTGTTCAACACCGGTCATGACAGAGCATCGCATCCGACGACCAGAACCTTGCGGCTTTGGGTTCTGCACTGTCATTCATGCGAACACTTTGACCACTTGCCTTAGTCAAGTCTTGGTTGATTGCTTGTTGGTTCAGCTGGAGCATATTCAACGTCTCAAGCAAAGCAGCATTGCATGAGTTCCAAATCGATTGCTAGGAAAATCACCCGGAAATATAATGTGATATTTTGTTAGTTCCTCTACTGTACAGTATCTCTATGTATCTCTCTTGTTTTTCGCTCTGGGTGCGGCTTCCTGCACGTTCATCTCTTCGCTGCTCAGAGTGAAATTCGCTACTTCAAGGATTCTTCCTGTCGGTGCCAGGCCGAAGATCACCACAGCCGCATTGGGACACGTGACGGACACGTGACAGCCATTGACAGCCTCTGTTTCTGTTGATCCCACCTTGGGCTTCATGAATTTCACGGCCTCCTTCAATTGTTGCACGGGATAGCACCATGTCTACCAGCCTTCAGAACTGTGCCAAGGATTGGCTGCAACGAAATCTCTGACCATCACATCGATCACTTAACTTTCAAACGATTCAAATGCAAACCCATCATGTTTTTCTGCATGTTGTACGACTCTGCACAACTGACATCAGTGGATGTTGCCAACTAGGTGTTATACTCTTGCAGGTTGTCGTCAAATCGCTTAATAGCCCGGCTGAGCTGCTGATGACTTCGGGAGACAGAGTCCTTGAGAGCTCAACCAATATCAGAGGTCCCAGTCAGTGCAAATTGAATGGCATGGAAGCACAGGAGAGAGTGCACCTGCCTTCAGTGCATGGTAGTTGGACAAGTCCCATCGGACGATCTTCACTAGATCCTCCAACACATATATCACATGTTGTGCCTGTCGTCCATCATCTGACATAAGTGCTAAACTGATCTAAACTGCTAATTTCCGGAAACTCCCAAAATGATGATCGCCATTTGTCATCGTTTAGTTAGTCATCTAGCTTCAAATCCTCTAAGCTCCGTGAAAATTCCATGGGAATAAAGCAGTCCTGAATCTCTTTTTCCATAGCCTCAAAGGTCAAATGTCAACACTGTGAAGACCATGGCAACGCTGGCAACGAAAAGAATCCAGCGCCTGTTGCGTCTTCACCAGCTCCTTTTCCACCGCCGGTAGCCATCTGCGGCTAAAGTGCCAAACCTGACGTAGCTACCACTCTGGTACCCCTGAAGCTGAATCTTAGTGACTTAGCGGAGTGAAATTTCAGGCCAGCTTTGAGATTGTTGCATGATGCGCCACAAGCCCGGAAGAGCAATTGCCTTCAGCCTTCGCACCGAATGCATTCCGTCATGTCAAGTACCAACTTGCCACAGCATAGATACCATAGATCGATCTAGCAACAGCTCTTACAAACATAGATGGCTCCTATCGCATCACCTCACATTCATAAAATGTGTCGACAGGTACCTGCAAGTAGACTACAAAGGCTTGAGTTTCTGTGGACTAAGAGTTTACCAGCAGGTGATCCTGACGGGAGAGGCGAAAAGCTGTGCTACTTCAGGCATGTTGGAAGTATGAATTAGATGAACTAGGAAGAACCGCAAAAATTTTCATAAACTGTCTCTACCTGTGGAAACACGGGCGTCGTCTTGTCTGCTTGTTGCCTCTAAGTGAAGCCGTGCAGCTGCATGGAGCATTTGCAGGCCTTTCGTGTGTTTCAACGTAATGTTCTGATGTGTTTTGAATGCTTGGGATTGTGGATAATTGTGGTCTTTTCAGACCTTGCAAACACAGAGACTTCATCCTACTCACTGTATACTGAGTTTCAGTCGAAGGCGGAATTCTCCCAGTGGCGAAGTACGGACAAACTTCAGCAGCTCATCAACCAAAGCACGTGCGTCCATGTCCTTGCCCGTTCACATTCACCACGAAGGCTTCTAAAGTTCTTAAATGTGCAACTGGTCAGACCACGTGTGCAGCTGATATAACTATTTGAAAAATAATATTGTACATCTGTCATCATAGTCCTATATCATGATATGCAAAAGATGTTATGATCAATTATCATCGTATATAACTAAACTTGTATAACATTCTACATATCTATATGTATATATATATATTACATCAGATCTATCATCACATAATAATGTATCTACTATTATTTCATATGTATACTTATATATTTATATATATATACATGTATGTATATAAATATATACTATATGTATAATATTGTATAATATTGTATAATATGATTTATGGTCGTCCATCCCATCCAAACAAAACGGCAGCCCGAAACCAACGACGCCTCCGAGAGAAGGCCAATGAGGTGCAGCCACCACTTGGCGCCAAGGCGTTCCCAGTGCTGCTCCCGGATCTGCCGCAGACCTCTAGCGGTCTCAGAAGTGAAATTGAGGCCAAGTTATTCTTAAAATGGTGAAATTGTAGTGAACATATGTCCAAAATTGTCCAAAATATGTTCAAATTGAATGTGTGTCGAAATTGAGGTTAAGTTAAAATATGCTTTGGATGAAGTTTGAAGTGTGAAAATATGCCACAAGATGTCAAGATTGAAAATGTTGGATAAATCATGACTCATACCGATACAAAACACCGGCAAGAAATCAGGTATCAGAAACTGATAGTGAAATGTCCTTTGACTTCCATGCCAATCAATATTCCGAAATGCAAACGTGCCTTTCCATTCCAGAAGTTGTCGTTCGCGCAAGCTCACCACCAGCGCCTGCAAGGTTTTTCGGATTTGCCGTCTTTTTCAACGGGAAGTCTGAAACAGAGCACCTTCAGCGGCTGGATCTGAGATTGGAGGGAGACATGCCGTGCCGCCGCTTCCTCCCAAACCTGCGTCTAGTGTGGCGCAAGTCTATCACGAACCAAACAGAAGTTATCTCAGCTGTCGTCATTTGCATCTGAATCCGAGAAAGTCTCTGAAATAAATGGATGTAAACAGTATTAAACACTAATCCCCTGTCTCAAAACAGCTGGTCTGGACATCTTTGGAACATCTCCGACCCCAATTGCAGGAGAGTGACAGTCGCTCTGCCAAGAAGAAGTTCAAGCATCGTGACTACAGTCATCGGAGTTGTCCTGGGATCCAACCAAGACACATCACTATGTCACAGCATGTCACACCATGTCACATCAAGTGAAGAACCCTAACACCCCAAGGACTCCGGCTGGAGAAGGTTCAAACCCATCATCTTCTCCACCAATCCTGATCGAATGACCACTGTCAACTGAAAGCAAACACATCACAAGCTTGCGCAGCCGGACAGCCTTCAATGGCAAGTAACGATGGGTGTTCTTCAAACTGGTCCTAAGCACTTCCCAAAATGCAAAGTTGGTTGCGATCCACTGACATCTGTCTACGACAAGCAAAGGCACGTTGTCACGTTGATCAAAGATGGACGACTATGACGACTTCCAGACTTCAAAGGTGTGGCACCCCGAGCATTTCGGCGATGCAGCTGTGCCAGCTATGCAGCTATGCGTTGACCAAGGCCCAAAGACTGAGGTCGCAGCCAGGAGTTCGCGAACTCGAGCGAGAAGTGCAGACAAAGGTGCCTTTAATCTGCGTTGATTTGTATTTCCCTTGACACTTCAAGGTCTTGTAGTCTTGTCTACTGCTGCGTGCACCATGTTGAGCCGGCTTCGCGCTGTTCTGCATTTCAAAGTCAGAGCAGTCAGATTCGAGACAAGTTGCTGCAAGCTGCAATAGGATGGCTGGACCTGAGATGAATTTGCTCAGCTGAGTTTGTTCTCCAAAGAGATTCGATCTCAGTCACTGGCTGCTCTCCGAGTAGAAAGCACAAGCTGCTGAACTGTGCAAGCCTCAATCTCCAAGCTGGCGCGTGCGCTCCATGCAACTGGACCACGTTAGAACGTTGCGCATGGACGTGCATGGTATACATATATATATATACATATATATACATGTGTATATATATATATACATGTATATATATACATACATACATATATATATGTATACATATATATATATATACATATATATATTATATACATATATATATAATATATGCATATATATATAATATACGTATACTGTATACAGTGCTGTACCGAACTTGGGTTGATTCTTGGACATGGCACCCAGAATCTTGCATCTTGCGACACTCTGAGATTGATTGGAGAGAATGAGTTGTGCTGCAAGGAAGCAGCAACACAACATGATGCCTAAAGATTATCCTGGATAACATAGAGTAACACAGTAGATGATAGATCAATTGCTCTGTGCACCCAACTCTTTCGAGCTTCTGCTGCGGTGCGCTTCTTGCCAATGCTGTCCTGTCATGGTTCTCGAGGCTGGAAATCATCAAGCTCTACGCAAAGATTTTTAAATATCTGGATATATCTGGCCCAAGTCTGAAGTGATCAGTTTCCAAGACTTCTCTGCCTTTGAAGCATCAGTTTCACCAGTTCACCCAGAATTTAGGGCAAGGAATCCTCCCAAGGTTTTTCGACATCACAGCACAGCAAAAATCCCAAAACGAGCAAGCTGGACAGCATCTGTAAGCCTCTGTGGACCTGGCCTGCAGAGAATACACATCCTGTGAAAGTTATCATGATCCAACAATCTGTCGCAGTGTGCTGAGCTTTGAACTGGAGCTGCTTGGCTGTCCGGTGAAGTCGGAGCCTCAGACTTGACCAACTGTAAACGCCTCGGAACTGTAAACTCTAAGGTGGGTAGTTAATGTAAATTAATGTAATGAATAGTAATGAATGATGATGATGATGATGATGATGATGATGATGATGACAATGACGAACGCTGTTGGAGCCCCGAAACCTTCAAGCTTTTGCTCTACTAGCCGCGGGTCCCAGGTCCCAGGCAAGACCATGGGGGAGATGCGGAAGGCAACGTCTGCTGGCCTCTGACCAAATCAGCTTGTTCAAACAGCAAATGTGCAGCGAAAATCACGGGATCAAACAGACTCAAAAAGCATCACGTAGCCGTGACATTGTCATATATATATTCACATATATATATATATAGCCAAGGATCAGAAGGGTGCTTGTGATCTTGTCGTTGGTCAGGCCACAAACGCAGAGACCTGGATGCAAAAATCATGACATTCCGAATCGCAAAAGGCATGAGACGTAAAGATCGTAAAGTGTGCAAAGAATAAAGAAAAAATATGAAAAAATGCCATTGAGAATTGCACGGATGAACATTTCCAGTGAAGCATCCAGAGCATCGAGTCGCAGATCATCTGCCTGACAGTGCTTTGGGCTTTGGGCAATGCATAGATCCTCTGGACCTTTCGAGAACGCCTCCTTGGAGAAGTTCGTTGGAGTTGTGCTTCCAAAGCATTCCAGACCTTTGCATGTCTGTCGTGGCTTGGAGTAAATGATGTTGCTACATGTTGCCCTACATGTTGTCAACATCATGTTGCTACACATGACAAGACCCAGGCTGAGCTCACAGAGATCAGAAATCTGCTGAGGTTGAAGATGGAACCTTGACGACAAGAATCGACAAGCGCCAATCGTTTCGTCGCCAGAACTCTGCTTGGGACATGATCAAGTGAGTGCTCAAGTGGTTTTAATTGTCAATGACTAGGCGTTGAATCTCGCAGCTTGAAGGTGATACCGGTGATACCGGTGATACCAAATTATTGCTGAATCTCATATGACAAGATATGACAAGTGCGGAGGCAGAGCAAGAAAAATTTGCACAACATAAAGAAGGTTTGGGTCTCAAACCGACCACTGTTCCCTTGGTTTTGTTCTCCCTTCTTCTTTGTCGAGGCAGCCTCTCCGCAGGTGTCACAAAGGCATGTAGAAACTTGTTTTCTTGGTTGTGTTCGCTACTCTCCCTCGGAACTTCTGTATAATATGACTAAAGCAACATGTTTTTAATTCCGATTGAATTCAGTCTGGAAACCCCTTGTACTGAACCAAGAGCTGCAAGAGGCAGACTAAAACAAATGCTTGTTGCCTATGTCAGTGCTTATGACACAAGTGGCTCGAATCTACGACTGTGCTTTGTGTTTGAGCAAACAGGCCTTGTTGGTTGCCCACATGTCGTAGAGACTGCTTCCACCAATCACTTCACCATCACCTTTTATCACAAGACCAGTCAGGTTCAAACTGCTTCCACTTCTCTCAGGACTCAGGACAACACCATCTGCATCATTGGTTCCATCCTGCACTGCAAATACCAGGCTGACAGGATCTGACAGGAAGCTGCAAAGCCTTAAACTGAATTTGCAGGTTCCTCATTAAGACCAAGCAATGCATAAGCTTCGGCTTGATCTTCACCTGCAACTCGACCGTCGGAGACAAGGTATACACGGCGTCAGCACATTACGTAGCTATAGAATGCTATAGACAGAAATCATAGACATCTACTCAAGGCACAAGCGGATCAAGGGCAACATTATTTATATTTAAATCTTGCAGGTTGTCCTTGCACGCCTTGCCTGGAAACAAAGCTTTCTCTGTGGCATCATCCTGTGGTCTTCTTGTTCAAGCAAGTCCAAGCAAGCTCAAGCACAGACTTGAGCTTGGTGCCCCAGTGGTTCAAGCTGTATTGAAAATCGTGTCTTCTGACATCATAGCAGCAACCGACTCGTTGCAACCCAAATCCTTTTACAAGAAAAATTATGAGGCAATTCATCGCAACTCATCAGTGTCTCCTCCTTCTCTGCAGCATCCTTTTCTGCTTTGGCCTCCCAGTCAGCTGGAAGTTTTCTCAGGCCACAGTAGATTGAGCTGCACAACTGCAATAGCCTTCGCCATCTTGAACAGCGTCATGGCATCAATATCGTCCTTTGCCTCATCCCAGACTTTGATGATCGGATTACGCATCTGCCAACGACGCAGTCAGCCAATTCTGAGGATGTCGCTCTCTCATTCTCATCCTCTTGATGTAAGATGCTTAGCTTCCGAAGCATTTGGAGGGCCTGGAACCAATTCCGCTCTGAAGAGCTTATACTCCACATGTGAAGGCAAAACGTTTTATACATCCAACAGGTGATGGATTTCTTGCGAGTTTGTATGCACAACAGCATGGTTTCTAGACCTCAGGCAAGTCTCAAATAAAGACCTTGAGGCCGGAGCAGCTTTGGGTTTTGGGGCGGCCAGTGTGGGCGAAGAGAAAGTTAGTGCTGTCCAGCCTTGTCTTGCAGTTCCAAATCAACTTTGGTGAGAAGGATTGCAGAGCTGACAATTACAGTACAAGCTGTTACAAGCTCAAATTTGCGCGAGCTGAGATTCATATTCCGCTGAGCTTGTTGCAAGACAGCACAGCCGCACAGCCAAGGCTCCAGCGAAGCCACCAACAAGCCACTTCGGGATTGCCAAGGGCAGAATCTGCCTCACAAAGCAATTCAAGCAGCTCATGGAGCTGTGATGAGCTGTGTGTGTGTGTATGCAGAAGAAAGGACTGGTCACCATCTTGTGAAATCATGTGAAACTTGTGTCTAACGACATGCAGAACATGGGGGCATCTGAATCCTGGAATCCCTGCAACATCCACACCTCCGGGCCCAAAGCCACTTGGATGCCTCGAGCCGTGCACAAAAAGGAAGTGATTGAGTCTATGTCTTCTATGTCTCTGTGCAAGTCTGTCAGTGTGAAAGAGTGTATGGAGTGTGTATGGTTGTAAAGGCAAGGGAACTAATTCTTTGAGGGCCACAGGCTATTCCTGCTACACAATGGTGGTGAAAAGGACAGATTGACTCGATAGCATGGTGCCTCCAGGTTCGTGTGCCGGCGATTGTGGAGTTGAACAAATACCCGCACCAGAGGCCTTGTCAACTCCAAAAATGATGCTGTTCACTTGGCAATTTCATGTTGGCTCGGTCGAATATTTGAAAAAGTGAGGAAAGAACTTCCAAAGCTGAAGCGGAGTGAGTTTGCCAAAGCTGTCGATACCTTGGCAACAGTTCTGACTTTCCTACAGGATCTAGACTGCTCACATTGCACAGCCTTAGAACGGTTTGCGTGGCACTGACACCCTCAAACACGTTCCAAGGTGCAACATTTGAAGGCCATGAAGGAGTGCCTGCAGAACCAAAACATGTTGAAATGAACAAGAAGACACGCTGAAAGTATTGAAATGTGTTCAAAAGTGATGGTAGGTTGTGCATGAAAGTTATCTTCCTATCACAGGTCGACTCAGCCCTAGTTTCGCTGTAGCTTCACAGTGCAAATACTGCGATCCTGCGCGGCCAGCACCACAGGTCCAGCGAGATCTGCGTGCAGCGGAAACCTTGAGGTGAGTCTCTGCACCTTGGACGCTCTTGTTCTGTCCTGTGAACCAAACATGTCCATATCCGCTGCAAAAGGACGCAAAACACATGTCTAGGGAACTGACAAAACCCATGGCAGAGCCTGACTGAGAAATTCTTCAGCTGAGTCACGTGGTTCAAAATACTTCAGAAAACAGGCACTCCACCAAAGCAGTGAGGTGCTGACAAGATAAATTCTGCAACTCAGACATGACCGACGCATCCTGCGCATTCTCGAAAGCCTGGATAAAGTCGAAACAAGTTTTCGAAAGGACCTCTCCATTCTCTCCATTTACCATCATTGATCTAGAATGGTCTAGACATGTCTAGAATCTCTGCAATATCCTGCCTTCAGCCACTGCAGAGCCTCACTACATGTGTGAGAAACACACGGCTTCCAAATTCAAGAGAGCCTGTACTGGTATAGCCAAAAAAACGCAGAAGATAGCGGAAGATTGCAAAAAGGGAGATTGCTTGATTACATGGCAACCAGAATTGAGAGACAGAGGAAGCAAAAAAAACATCGGAAAAAATACAAAAAGACCGCGTCTTGATATAGCGGCTCGCTCTATGACCGAGCTCTGTCTGCAAAGTCGTTGCTGAGACCATGGCCTGCCCTGGTAGAGGGAGCAGCCGAAGCCTCAGCAGTGATGGCTATTCTTGGCTCAAGAAATCCCAGTTGGAACACCTGATCTCTCAGAAGCAGGCACCCTATCTGGTCTGCACACCTCAGCTGAACAAAATTGGGTGAAGGCCGGGATTCATACAGGCAATGACGTTCCCTGGGCGCCCGGCAGATGTTGCAAACGCTCCAACTTCTTGGCATAAATCCTTGCAGGATCAATGGGGTGCAGTGTGTGAAGCAGCAAACGGTAACATTCACGGAAGCAAAACAGCAAACTTAAAGATCTGCTGCCAAATAATACTAATATATACTAATTAACTAATGGATGATGGAGTTCATGGACGGCTCAAAGCCATAGTGTTCTCGACCGTCTTGTCCTGGTATCCAGGCGCATGCTGCCCTGAGACCTGAACAAAATGCGCTTGCAGAAGATCACCAAATTGGGCGGAAACGGCCCTGGAAAATGTCGGAGTTCCACAGCTTCTCCATGTAAAGGATGGCCGGAGCAGAACTGCCGGAAACTTCTTTTTCATTTCACTGGTGGTTGGTGCATGGCTGGTCCCAGCACTCTACAACTTTTGTACAAAGAAGTTTTCTGCGTCTAAGTCACCAAGACCTTCCTGCAATTTCTAGAGCAAAATAAAGTAACTATATAACTTTTGTATATATATACATACGTATATATATATACATATATGTTCTTGAAGCAACAGACAGTAAGAAACAAATGTAATGGTTCAGCAAAGGACTTTGTTGCAAGAATGGGCAAGGTGGATTCACATGCCTGACACTCCAGGTATAAGATGTATAAGGCCCGCAAGTCTGTCGTGGCAGGGCACGGCCGTTTTTCTCCACGAAGGAGCTGTGAAAACGCGCGGGGTCTGCAGTGTCGGGACGCTAATGACACAAAGATTGCAAAATGGATCCTTCAGATCAGATAGCATTGATAGCATGGCGGCAAACGCACGAAAGACGCAAGTGCTTCCTTGCTGACACTGGCTTTTGGGCATCATTCAATATCATTCACACCTGCATGTGAAAATGTCTGCGTTGAGCGATGCTTTTCCTGTTTTAGAATAGTTGGTATTGTAATATCCAATGGCATCATGTGGCCAGCAGGAGCAATCCTTTGAATCTTGAATGTGCAGCCGTCTTTCGAGCACAGTGTCATCAGCTTGATAAATTCCTTTCAGTATCTTCAGTTTTTATCTGTTGTGAAGATTGAAATCGTTTGAAAATGAAGGAAAGTGTGCTCAAAAGAATGCCTTTCAATGCTGCATTTAAAGAGTCAAAGTTCGCAAAAGGTTTGCTGAAGTTGCCGCTTCAGGATTCAATCAATCCTGGATGATGAATATGTTTCTTAGCTGCTGCTAGTTCTCGTTGAACGGCTGTACGGCCGAACGACCTAGGCAAACGCCCAGCAACAACATTGCCCCTAGCACTGAAGGTCTACAATGAGTCCACAGCAGTGTCAATGCAGTTCTGACGCTTTGGGGTTATGGCAAGTAGCCACACGCCAAGTTGGCCATGTCTTAGCTGCATGGACCTTGATAGACTCCACAGCATCAAGTTTGGGAGATTGGAAACATTCAAAGCAAGAACTCTTGAACCCGTCTACACAACATCCGGAGACTTTGTGACATGCAACTTGCCAAGAAACAACGGCTATCTCTCAGAAGGCAAGGCAAGTGTCACGTTGAAGGACATGCCCGGGCCTGGGCATCCAACCCATTGGCCTATCCTTTGATCATTTGATGATCATTTGCTATCCGTTGATGTCCTTTGATGTCCTTTATTCCATTGCTCCATTGGTTAAGATTCTACGGCTCCAGCCGTATCCCGATGGAATCGGAACTTGATACCGATATCCTGGCATTTGATCAGCGATAAGTGAATGCAAAATGTTGAGACTGTTGAGACCTCACTGTGTTCTATGTGTTCTATGTGTTCTATGTGTTCTATGTGTTCTATGTGTTCTTTTCAGGTCCTTGGTACTCCACCGGCATTGTTTGCACAGGTGGATAGCCCGATCTATAATCTGCAGGTAGAACAGCCCCAAGTTCATCCGGAACAGTCACCTCCGCTCGATGCGAAAACATGGCACCAGGTCAACTCTTTTTGAGAGACGTAGAACAAGGTTCAAATTTGTTTTTTGTTTCAAACTATATAAAGATATGTAAAGTGTGTATTGCTGCAGGTCCGATGAAAGAGTGTTCTTCTGGAATTCAGTCGAGCTTTCAAAGCCTGGATCTGCTCACCCCCTGGCGCAGCAGAGAGAATGCCAGCCTCCTGCCGCAAGAACAAAAGCACTCCATCTGGACTAGAAACAGCAGAAACTGCGTGGAACCCTCTCCTGTTGTCTCAATCCATCGTTCAGCATCACCTGCCAGAGTCGAATTTCTGCAAGGTTGGTGTAATTGCTGACTGCATCATATCCGGTTCTTTCCAGTGGCCCAAAGTCCCCCCAGACCCAAAGTATAAACTTGAGAACGGAATGAATAATTCTGACATGAATTGGCCAAACAATTGGCATAGCGTTCTTGTCACAAATGGGCCTATGCAGTGGAACCCTTGTCGCACCTTGAGGAAGGTGTCATAGTCAGCAGCAGCTGTGAGGCTCGTGAGGAAAGAGTCCAAGTCCTCCTCAGAAATCCGACACACTGATACCCAAAAGAAATTCACCCAGCTTTGCAACCCACAGGAGTTGCAAGGCTTCTAGGGTTTCAGATGTTTTGAGATGTTTTGAGTGGCTTTCGTCCATGATGCACCAGCCCCAGACCCAGGGATTGAGACACAACAAGCACTGCTCTTGGGAATCATACAGTTGGAAATGTTGGGAAAGACACCTTCCTGATTTTTCTGTTTGCAGCTAGGTCACAGCGCTTTCTCCAAGGGTTTCCCTTACTTCGTGTAAGTGCTGCATGGTAGACTGAAAGCTCTCCTTGGCCGAATCGCATAGCCGCATAGTGATGCATATCTCCACCAGATTCTGCAGGTCTGGGCAAATACGAGCCATCTGAAATGTTTGCATATCATTGCAGCATAGCTTCCCTGGTCATCCCAATTTCTGACAGAGTCTTCCTTGGGCAGCCAAGAGGCCAAGAGGTGGAAAAAAAAGAAGAAATCCTGCCGCTTGAATGCAAAGCTGAAAAATGGCATTGGAGGAATAGGCAGACTTTCAGTTCCATCAAAGTCTGACTCCTCATCTAACCATTCTCCTGTTTCAGCATGTTTCAGCTCACATGCAAAGCAATTCATAATTGCCAAGCAAAATCCAGTTTTGCAAAACACAGTTACAACGACGAGCTGCTCCAGTTGCGACTCAAAAATGTTGGTGTATTCTTGGTGCCCTCAGTGACAGAGAAAACACAGCAATCATACGTATAGCAATTACCGTATTTCTTGAATGTGTGTGTGTGTAAAGTCAAGCAAATTCCTATAGCCTTGTAGACTTTAGATGAGGATTTGCTTTTCCTGCGGCTATTCCTATGGGACCTATTACGGTCTTTCGAGCGCAAGGTCGCAGGAGCCACTCTGCGGCAAGAGAAGCGCCTCTGAGAATCCAACGCAACGTCCAAAGCCTGAGAGTGGAACGTGCTGCGCAGGAGGGGCACAGATAGATACAGATACATGCGGATACAAATGCTCTGAATGCTCAATAGTCAAAACTTATCCACAGCCAAGAGGCAAAGGATGGGAGCCATCCGGCCAAAGCGCCAGAAAATCACCGGCGTGTTCGGCCGCGAATTCTTGCAGAAGGTGTCGGAAATTGCCTCAGGCAATGAATGATAGAGCAAATTGGGGCGCAAGGACTTCAAGGACCATTCAAAGAAATGGGCTGTTGATGGCCATTCAAAGAAATGGGCCGTTGCAGTTCCATTGTGTCGATTCATGTCGGGAAGCAATCTTCCAGACCATCACGAAGCGGCTCCAGGCTGGAAGTGATGAGCCAGTCCTGCAAGTGATCGCCATACATCAAGATATATTGAGTCATTAAGTCAAATTAAGTCATATTGAATTGCTCTAAAGCGCTGCAAGACAGTTCGAACATGTTCAAACATGTTCAAACATGTTCAAAGGTGTCCAAATGATACATTCTTATCATTCTTGCAACGTGACAAAGGCGCAGCAGGCGCCCGAGACCTCGTGTTCCTTCTGCCGCAATCTTGGTGACAGCATGTCAGCTTCCCAGGCCAGATCCTGAGCGTGACCATAGCGTGACCATTGGAATATCGAAAGTCCGAAAATAGGGTAACCGACGGTAACCGATTTCATCCCTTGGTATAGAATACATCTTCCTCATCACGGTCTCCTCCATTGGACAACCCCAGACTGCCCCGCATGAAAACTACCTTGCAGCTAAGCGACAGAGGTTGCCATTTGGACGAAGTATCTCACTGATGACCGGCGATGACCGGTATGGAGTGGGCGTAATTTGCTCAAGAAAATGTGTTGGGAAGAAATCTACAAGCACTAGGAAGTAGCACTGACACTTGAAGCCCGTTCCACACTTTTGTACTGAGCCAAGCTGTTGCATCAGGATCAACGAGCTCGCATCAATTTCATGGCCACGTGCTGGGCCGACAATTGCTAACTGTGTCAGAAGTAGTTCTCTTATGCAGAATTCTCGTGTATCTATACCTACCAATAAATAGCAATGGCTTCTTTTTCACTCAGGGTATCATATAAAATCATACAATAATACATGTGTATATATATATATATACATATGTATATATATACTGCCGGCAGATGACTTAGGCCCAAGAGGGCCCAATGACATAAGAAGAACTATATGAAAGTGGCCTAAGTCATGTAGTCTTTACAACACGCAGTTCACCGAACACCCGGAAGACACCTGAAAAAAAAAACGCGAGAGATAGGAACAAGATACCTTCAAGAGACTGGGAAAACATGTGTGCACCACCCCCTTTCCAAGATATCAAAACATGATGACTTAGGCCACCCCTTAATTTTTAATCCGCTAAAGCTGCCTAAGTCATCCAGCTCCACCCTCAGTGGCTAATATATATATATGTGTGTGTGTTCTTAACCCCAAACTCTCAACAGGTGAAACCCTGATAACTTAGAACTGCACGTTCTCAGTCTTGGCCATTTCTCAGTCTCGGCCAATTAAATGGTTAAAACAAATCTAGTTTTTATGTGAATGGAGTCTCTTGTTCCTAAGTCATTTGCCAATAGTATTTTTTTTTAATATATATGTATATATATATATATAAATATCTATTTGTTTCCCCAAACTCTCAACAGGTGAAACCCTGATAACTTAGGACTGCACGTTCTCAGTCTTGGCCATTTCTCAGTCTCGGCCAATTAAACGGTTAAAAAAATCTAGTTTTTATGTCAATGGAGTCTCTTGTTCCTAAGTCATCTGCCAGTAGTATTTTTATCAAATATATATATATATACATTTGTTTCCCCAAACTCTCAACAGGTGAAACCCTGATAACTTAGGACTGCACGTTCTCAGTCTTGGCCATTTCTTAGTCTCGGCCAAATAAATGGTTAAAACAAATCTAGTTTTTATGTCAATGGAGTCTCTTGTTCCTAAGTCATCTGCCGGTAGTATTTTTATTAAATATATATATATACATTATATATATATATTTTTTTTTGTTTCTCCAAACTCTCAACAGGTGAAACCCTGATAACTTAGGACTGCACGTTCTCAGTCTTGGCCATTTCTCAGTCTC